TAAGTACTGTAAGTATGTATGCAGTATGTATGCTACATTATCCTATTTAGCTTTTATATTTGTTCAGTTATAAACTGTTCTTGAATAACTTAATCTGTTTTTTTTTACTTACTTTTTCTTAAGAACACTTACAAAAATGAACTGTCGCATGTTTGCGACGTTTGGTCTTTCAAGATAACTACAGTATCATAATTTTCACTATTGTCTTCGCTGTATGTAGACTGGGCGTCGCAAATATGCAACATTCCAAAAGGTTATAAAAAATACAAAAAAACAAGAATAAATTATTTACAAACACGATTGTTGCATTGTAGCGCATTACAATGTAAATGATCACTGTTTTACAGGTTTTCGCCCGTGGTCTGTGTGTACTTAGTTAACATTAACTAAGTGACAGCTGGTCTATGTGTAAGATTCAAATGTATACCTCGGTCTGTGGCAATGACCGCGGCGTCGCATATATGCAACGCTCAGTAGCGAACGTGTTATGTAGCCTATATTGATACAATCATGAGTTAAATTTGAATGAAAATAACGTGCGAACTCGCAACCGCCATGTTTCGTTGTGATATCCTGAAAGATGAGCAATTTCAAAAAATCATATTATGTAGCAGACGCAATTTTGGTTTAGGCCTATAGCAGACAATTGTTAGGTACCACTGCAAAAAGGATGAAGTCTGCTTTTATTTTGTATCTTAAGTAGGCCTATAATGTCATATAATGTAGGCTATTCCAACAGCCAATAATTTTTTTTGTAAATAAGTAAGTACAATTTTTACGTGAGGCTAGTTTGGCGAATCAACAAAAATTGTCGGTCGCATATAATACTTATAGCCTATAATTTGAAAAGTCCAAAAACGTTGTTTTGTATATGCTCATAGACAAAGAAAAGTAAAATATCAATTTTGTCAGGCTGGTCACACAAATAGAAGATTGGACTTTTCAAAGCTTTAAAAGAACAGAACCCTTGACATCTTCTAACCTAAAATGGCAGCGTCGTCGTGAGTTTTTGTCCGATAACAAGATGAGGTGTGAGTTTTATGCGTAATTTTACAGTGTAGCCTAATGTGGGTTGGCTTCAAAAAATGTATGGTTTTATGATAGGGTAAGTTATTGATTTATTATTAGAGGGCATTTTTGGATCTATCAAAGTGCAGTTGTCAAAATTTATCATGGTTTTTATCTTCATTGTTGATGTGTTACTTGCTAAGTTTATCTATTGTTATTTACATACTCAGTCATAGCCTTTAGTTGTTGTTGTGGTAAATTTTGTATCATCTGCCTTTCGTAAAATGATGTCACCATGGAAAATGGAAATATAAGTTAACCCTAGCAGTGGCCAATGTTAGAAGTGGGGAATGGCCAACCCATTTTGGCGATTTTGCAGACCTTTTTTTAAAAATCTGTCAAAATTACAAATATGGACTCAACCTATCAATGTTTGTATTAATTTCATTCAGAAAAAGCAGGAGAATCTGAATATATAAATAAAAATTGAATCTGAGTTGGTAACTTTTTTGAAAAATAAAAAAAAAATCATAAAAAAATTCAAAAATTCTGATTGAAATTTCAAAAGTAAAGTCTTGTTATTACTACAGTATAATTTTCAGACCAAAACCATTATATACATTTTGTAGTAAATTCAATTCCCTACATAGAAATGTACCTATAACACATGGGGAAATATTTTTGTTACAAATGTTATGTAAGAAAATGAAGAAAATTCAAATTTTGTCGCATAAGACGAATAATTAGTAACTCGGTGATAACTCATGTAAGGTATGTAGTGATAATAATATAGTACACATATTCTTGTAGGTTATAAACTAAGGAATACAAATATGTCACATTGTAGGCAGTAAAAAAATTTTGATTAGGCTACCCGTTTATGACACAAAAAACTAAAAATTTACAGTTTACATAGAACAAAATTCAAAGACATTTTTGTAAAAAATTTTTGTACAGATTTTTGTAGGCCAAACATATTATAAAAATGTTATAGTAGGCCTACATTCAATTCTCTTTATAGAAATGTATAACACATGGGGAAAATATTTTTATTTAAACATGTGTTATGTAAGAAAATACGAAAAATCGCAAGGTTTGTCACGTAAGATGAATAATTAGTAACTCGGAGATAGCTCATGTAAGGTAGGCCTAATTAGTGATACTTTCCAGTAGGCTTATATTCATGCATAAAGATTACTGTTAGTCCTAAAACACAAAAACATTACTAACAAAAAACACTACATAACTACAAAATCCGAAATTTGAATGATTCCCAAGATATTCACCGAACAATATTTACTTTCAAAACGTTTAAGTCAGCTGATCCGCACAAAACAAACAGAGTACTGTAACTTGGTCAGATGGCAATTTTCTTTTGTTGCTGACAGAACACAGAAATTATACAGTGATCAGGGCTGCCATTTCTCAACAACACTAAATTATTCTACGTTTCCTACACTACAAAAGGATATTATATTTTAATAGTTATAAATATTCCATTATATATATATTTCGACTTTAGAAATGGTCCTGGCGGGACCATTGGCCATTTGTTAATTTTTGTAAAATTACGTGTTTTCTAAAAATCATATGTTCTTTGCTATCAATGTATTGATAAAATAATCTATGCCAAAATATTCAGCAACTCTACTGCTATCTAGTGGTATAACTCGCATCCAGATAGGGAAAAAACTAACCTCGCTATGATTTTCTAAACTTTATGTGTTTAGCGGTTACGCAACACTACAAGTGGAAGTAGATTCGCGCGGAAATTTTCATTCAAATTTAAATTGCAATTACGTTGACATATTGACGCTAGAAGGTTCGTTTATATAATAAAATGAAAGTTTAGAATTTCATCTTTTGAATGGTATATGCATTATCCACTTTAAAGATAATTATCAATTAGTTTTTAGCGTTAAAAAATGTTTGGACATAAATAGTGATGTGGGCCGGGTAAATACCCAGTGGGTAGGTAAATATAAATTGGGTATTTACCCTAGGCCTGGGTAAATACCCAAAAACCGGGTATTTATAATTTGTATTAAAGTTAGAGAAGATTGAGATGTTTTTTTACAATTATTACCCTGTAAGGATTGTAAAATGATAATAAAATGTGTTAAACAAAGTTTCATATGGACACTACTAGCATTTTACTTCTCGGTATAATCGCCATAAATACCCAGGTCTGAGCATAAAGCATAAATACCCAGGTCTGAGCATAAAGCATAAATACCCAGGTCTGAGCATAAAGCATAAATACCCTGGTCGCATGGTTGGACTGGTCCTGACTACTTATAATTTTTTTTTTTAATTTCAATGATAGATAGATGAATTTATTTTATTGAAAGTGAAGAAAAATAATTTGTAAAGCAATAGTCATTATTTAGAAAAACAGGAAAATTTAACATAGTAATGGCTTATGTGTAAACAACTTAAGAAAATAATTAAAATTCAATCTGTAGGATGGCAGGATTTAATATTTTTGTTCCAGATCCTTAGTTGGTATCAATGGTATAAAAAACAACTAATTTCATAAACTTGTGATACAAAAAATTTTTGGGGACATCGGTTTAACCGGAAAATCCGTTATCCGGACTAGCTTCGGTCCCGAGGAGTCCAGATGATAAGTCTACTGTACTTTCAGTATTCTGCCATTCTGCCTATGTCAATCAGGCTTTGGGCCTGTCTAGCCTTCCAAGCCATTTATAAAATACAAATTTTAGCCTAACTATCATAATTTAATAGGAGTATGAGTATGAGGAGTAGGAGTATGTTTAGGTTCACTATTTATCTGATGAGGTGTTGTCTTGGTTTCATAACAAAAAAGTGCTTAATCATTCAAAGCTACTGTACTAGCAAAGCTTCAAGTTACTGTAAAAGGTGTTATAGACTATCCTAATTTATCATGTAGCCTAATGATAACAATAACATATTTAGGGGTAAATATGAATTAATTTTAATCGATTTTAAAAATACCCAAAATACCCGGGTATTTCTGGATTAGGCCTATGGGTATTTACCTGGGTAAATACCCAGGGTATTTACCCCGAGTTTTAAATACCCAGGTATTTTACATCACTAGACATAAATGATCCCGGCGGGACCATGGCCATTCTAAGGGTGCACGGTGAAATGGTCCCGCCGGGACCATTGGTCACTGCTAGGGTTAAATGAATTGAAAATATCGATTATTCGATTGTTTCATACGATATATCGTTTGGTTAGTTAGGTAAGATTAACCTAACCTAACTAACCAAACGATATATCGAATGAAACAATCGATTAATCGATATATCGATCGATATTTTCATTCGAATGAGTGTAGGACCTAAAGTAAAGTGCAGCCCAAATTGTTAAAGGCCTAAGTTCTCGAAATGACTTAACAACTAGGTAAGTTAAGTAAGCCTAACTTCACCTTCGGTAGCCTTACCTAGCCTAGCTAATTTTAGGTTCTAATAAGTTAGCCTAGAAATTAGCCTAAAAATTAAGATGTTTCAAACTAAATAAAATCCTAGGCATCTAACTTGATGACAAGTCTGAACACTGGGCTACTTGTGTTGTGGAAAAATCTGTCACGTAAAGACAAGTATTCCCTGATGACATTGATGTAAATAAGTTAAGTTAGCAAAATAATTCATGAAAGTCCCTCAAGACTACAAAACATGGTCAGGACCTAATTAATTTAGCCTGGGCAGTGTGGCTGGACCAGTTTTAACAGGTCATTTAGCCTAAACAAATAAATTTTCCTGATGTATGTACAAGACTTTGACGCGTCACGAAGAACGACGGAGACAAACAAAATTATAAAATTAATAAATAAATGATAAGGGCTGAATCTAAATCGATGTGCAAATATGGCGGTACCGGCATGAGGGATTTAGGAGCACAATGAGGATTAATAATTTTTACTAAGTGAGAACTGAGAAACCAAATTGTGAATCTAAAAAATTAAATCTAAAATTAGTTAACTGTATAATAAATCAACTTACCATTTTATTTGTGCGATATCCGTATCACCTTGTGCCAGTCTATTTCACTAGAAACCCTAACGTCACCCAATATCCAGTGGAAGAGAGGGTGTTCACTGTTCACTGCTTCCACTACCAACCGAACAGAGTAAAATGACTCTCTCGTTAAAAATCCATCCGCACAGACAGCTCCTAATAGTACGACTCACGCAATTGGGCGGCCTATCGTCCCCTCCTAACCACAATCTCTTCTTGTCCAATGTTATCGAGTTAATCACTGAATGCGTCCGAGTGAAAATGAAATTTTATTCAGTTTCTTTGACGTTCTACGGAGGATTTATGAAATATATAAATATTTTTATTTCTCAAATAAAATAGTGAATCAATGTACCGCAGTTTATCAATAATATTCCGCAATCGATGATGGGACTACTTTAACAACACCCAAACTCAACCTCAAAAACACTTAGATTATTTTATTTGAGAAACTATTAATTTTTTTAAAGAAAACTCATTATTTTTTTCGAATGTATACCATTTGTTTTGTTGTTTCTGGATCCACAATATCGGTTGTTGACGATTTTCTTCTCTAAACAAACCGATAGGCGATAACCCACATCCACATGGCAAAGAAGTGTTGCACTTAGCACACTAAATTTCCCCGCCTCAGAAGTCAGACGGAAGAAGAAGGAAATTAGTCATCACACCGGCTTGACGCTTCACACACTAGCCAATCCGGAGTACACTTAGGGGGATATTACCTTTTATGGTATGATATTGGAGGGAAGTTTGTATGGGAAGTTATCAGCCTGCAATTGTTATGAATTGATTTGATTTGTGCAATAATAATTGCAATTAATTGAAAATAATTAATTGTGGTAGCTTGTAGACATTAGTTTTAACATTTTTAATCAGTAGATAATGTTTACATTTCGATTGTTATTCATAATTATTTGTTATTTATAATAAATAAATAAATAAATAAATAATGGAGTGTCTGTGATATAAGTGATACATTAGTTACCACTACATTTAACTATACTATATTATTACTACTATATTGTTACTTATACTTATACCCAGAATAAAATGTGTTATTTTGCATTAGGCCTATCAGACTGATGGGGATTCCAAAAAAAGTTTATCTTTGTACAGTAATTATTTTCCTCTTGCCTTCAAGGTTCAATATTAATTACTGTATTCTGTGTATGAACGAAACCAATTATTTACTTATTTAGGGATGCATTCTCTTAGATTATTTTTCAACATTAAAAACTGTTTCTGCAGTTTTCAATGTGCGTGCATGCTTTCAATATGAATTACTTTTTCTTCATACTACAGCAAAGACACCACAATAATAATAAATGCATTGCGGGGACTAGTTTACCGGTAGCTCTTACTCCCAAAGGCTTTTTCACAACTCTACAATGTTTTAAGCCGTTTTATACATTTATTTGGAGTATTGGAGTCTGAAAGCTACATTTTTATTGCTTTCCATTCCAGCTGTCATGTCATAATAGGAACCAAGCAGGTTTTTGCGGCCTTAGGGCTGAAAATCAGCTGTTCGCTTATTTACTTTAAACTGTATTTTATACACACACACACACGCTGTACCCATATACATTGCAATAGACTTCTTTTATTTTCGTCGCTGCTTAGAAACTATTTATTAGTTTGACATGATTCCTCTAAATGTTTTCACACAACCTTAAAGTTGTAACTTAGTGTTAAACGTTAGTGTGCATATTGTATTATATTTTCTCAATTTTGTATGTATAGTGTGGTGAAAAATAGCGTTCATACCACGGGCCGAAAGGGGTTTGCAGCTCTCAATCATTCTAAGTTCTCGAACTTAAAAAATGATCTAGAGCCAGCAAATCCTCATTTTTGGCCCTAGGTACCTACGAAATATGCTATTTAGTCCCTCGCCAGTATAAGTCAGCTGTTGAAAACTTGGTTGTTAACTTTGATTGTAATTGTAATCAATCATATTGTATCGAAATTATGTATTGATATTGATTTAATGTCAATCAAAGTGTTTCACACACAATATTTTGCATTGTTACAAGGAGGGAGAGGTGGCTTTTTTGACAGCATAGCATTGTTGTAGACTAAACAATCAAACTACAACAGTGTCTTATTCTCCATGAGAAGAACATAGGAATTTGGAATTTACAACTATTTTTTAATGTTCTCTGTAACCATTAGGTGCATAACAATGATTAAATATTCTAAATTATTATTTGTTCTTTTAATATTGTAAACGTGATTTGGAATAAACAACACAACATGAAGTTTGTTCTTTTCTGCTCTATCATTGCTCTATAAAATGGTTATAAAAAATTATAAATTATTATATTTTGAATATCAACAATGAAAAAAAACCAATCCCAAAACCCTCTGTTTCCATCTGATCATGCTGGTTTGCAAATTCATTCAAGTAAATACAGGTTTACACATTTGTTCCAAATTTAATCAAAATTAGATCAAATTTAGTTTAGGTGTTATCGTGCTGACGGACACATATAATGAATTTTAACGGGTGGTGTTTTTGGTCTCTTCAGACCCCTAAACGATAAGTAAATCAGTCTCAGATCCAGGTCTTACCATAAGACCTATGGTAATAGCTTATTCTTTATATGGGAAATTAACTAAAAGTAAATAACCACAAAATATAAAATTTACAAACTTTATTTATAAAACCAGTTTTACAGGAGGAATTAATATAATAAATAATTTGATGGGAAATAATCAGAACAAACTGAATTCCTTAAAAATTGTTATAAAATAATAAATTAACTACAACAATGTTACCTCAAGCAATGATTAATCTCATAAGAGTCGATAAAAAGACCATAAGTTTATTTTAAGATAGTAAGCCTACAATATTTACACTTTGTATTGACAAATAAAGAGCACTAACCAACAGTTGAATTAAATATCTACACATTATTTACACTCCTACAACTTTCTAAAAACTGCAGTATCTACTGATAAAACCAGAATAAATCCCGAAACATCTGTATCATAACCTAAAGTATGTATATTGTATAGTAAACAATATGTTAACAATCCTTTAAAAAATCCTTACCGTATATATAATACGTGAAAGCGTTTTCTACGAAACACTACTCCGATAATAATGAACGGATTTTCACAATGTGTCAAAATTAAGTATTTTTTGTGTAGACGCCCCCTTTCACCAATTCCTGTAACAAAAGGATTCGAGCTTTGCCCCACAGGCCATCAAAATCCCAATGTATTTCTTATGAAGAAAATTTACTAATCCAGCTGTTATGCTTTGTCCTACCATTTAATTAAATTGGCTTATTATGAAGATTTGTTTCTTGGTTCCATGTGGTCAATGAATTACACTCTTGCATATATTGCAATACACTATATAAAGTGATGGTAAAACATTAAGAAATATGCATTTAAATAATTAATAAGAACGATTGAGCTTTGCCTATATTTTTTGTGGTAAGTGTGTTGTAACCTTATTATTCTTTTCTGCATTCTCACCCCGTAGCACAGCACGGGCAGAGCAACTAGTATATAATATTGGCGGTTTACTGTCTGTTCATAAATCCAGTCGACATCATTATTATTATTATCATTACTTAAAGGCAGCATGACCATGGCCCCCTCTAATACAAGGCCTGCATGACAAACCAAACCAGCTGTTGCACAAATTTATGATGGAGTGTCTGCACAATCTTTATAATGTACACTTTTGGTTTTTTTTTTGGTATTACCATGGCAACAGGCTGGCCGTGCGTTGCGAGGTTGCCATACACTAGATATAGCTGGGCATCTGAGTGTTTGGTTATAGTGCTAATCAAAATGTCGCCAGTTCGATTGTGAGAAAAGTTTGTAGGCTAGTCCTTGATTATTGGGCTTTTAATAAATGGTCCTGGATAATGAAATAGCCAGGTAGTTGGTAAGTAACAAAGCTAGGGAAGGCATCTTACCTCATTCTACACTCATCCTTCACGCATATTTCAGTTAAAATATGCACCTGGGTGGCGTTCCCATCTCAATTGATAATAATCACTCTTTTAGTTGTAAAACTTTACATGTCTGTATTTATTTTACTGTAATTTAGAAGTTTTTATCACATACTAATTGTCTTTAATCTTAATAGTCTTTGCTACAAATCTTTAATAATCTTGATAATCATTAGTACTAACATAACCTAACAATTGAAAAAACATCTTTGAAAAGTAAAAGGGTACAAGGGTAAAAGGGTGCATTACTCATTTTGTCTCAGAAAGAAACGTTGAACCCTGTTAAATGTGTAATTTGTGCACACGTCGTCACGTATTGATCATAATTAACCGGAGGGAGTAATATAATAACATAAATTATTCAACCTCTTGATTATTATATGTTTGCTTAGTTATTAAAGCAGCACATGGCAACAGCTAGTGATTGAGATGAAATACACAAAATGTCTAGTTTTATTTTAAAACGAGATCTGATTTAATTAGTTTTATTTTAAAGACAATTTTGACACATTTTTCCTTTATCGTAAAATCGGGAAACACATATTTTACATTTTAACTAATAAAACACTATCTCTGCCATTTGTATTTAAAAAATAATTTGTCCACCATTAAAAACGAAAATTTGGAATATTCCTAGATAAGAGAAAGAGTTCTATTGAAGCCCACAATCTACAAACCTCTTCAACAACTACGTCAATACAAGAAATCTTATTGCTTTCTGAATCCTATTTCATTAAAAATTAATTACAATTACACAATTCCTTTCTTAAATAAATAATCCAAGCTAAATGTTTTTTCCTAAAAACAATTCCTTTTTTATAATTTTACTGTTATTTACACTTTTGATATGGTAATAAACATTTATACAACAAAAGGTTTAATTAGTAACACAACAGGTTTTGAACAGTTCCTTACTAAAAAATTTAAAAATGAAAATTACATTATATTCACACAAAATTTAAAAACACGATTCTCACAAGACAACATTTAGAGGAAGTACTTAATAATTTTGACAACTGAGACATAAAATTGAGATTACATCAACCAGTACTAGTCATGGATTTGGTGAATGGAGATTCCTTTAAACCACTAAAGCATACAAATAACACATCAACACCTAGATGTCACCTCCCATATTGCACAACACAGCTTAACTCAACTATTTCAAGTTTTGGCTAGAACAGGCACTTACATTTTGAACTCTTTGTATTTTGTAAACATTAAAAAGGATAGAAAAACCCCTATTGCCCATAATTGAAGCATTTTGGTTTCAACTGTGAAAAATAAAATAACGTGGAATGAGTATTCAACATTGCAATTAATGATTCTTCTGTTTTACTGGGTAGAATTGGACATATTAACACATTCACAATGTATCTAAACTTATTACACATTTTATACTCTTTGATTTACTTACATACATTACACTAGGACTTGAAAATTAACATAAAATATGACTGTTCACACGATATTCGCATAATAATTTATTTACAAATAATGTTAAAACTGCCAACAATTGTAAAATGGTACAAATAAAGACAAAAGTAATTTTTGCCACACTATGATGTTTTTATCTGTTTCACATACATTAATTGGTGGCTGAAGCATAGACAAAAAGCATTAAATATAGACCATCAGCCGTGCTGCGGTTACCATAGGTTCTGTGGCGCACGCCTCTGGGAGCGCCATGTAACTACACGGCGCTAACAGCGGTGTGCGCCAGAACCTATTGTAACCATGGTAACCGCAGCACCATATATTTTATTATTTTTGTCTATGCTGAAAGTTACGTTTTGCTGCCCATGCCAGATGTCATCGTCATTTTGGGGACCGAGCAGGTTTTTACATACCTAGGGCCGCAAAATCAACTGTTTGCTTATTCACTTAAACAAATAATGTATATTAAATACACAAGCTGTATCCATAGCATTGCAATAGACTTGTTTTTTTGTCACCGCTGCCTAGCAACTGTTTATTATTATTTTTGCTGATTCCTCCATTTATTTCTCTACGTAACCTTAACCCTTCAAGACGTTTTGACGTACGTGATACGTCTGTACTGCTCCGCCCGCTGCTGCGTTTTGACGTATTGCGTACGTTCTCAGACGTTCCGTCCGATGCTCCTACCTATCGGGGAAATCCGCAAACATCTGGACGCGATCGATATTGCAGTACGTTGGGGGGTCAGTAGGGCTACATGAAACTACAGAAATACCCGGTTTTAGAAACTTTTGGTTGCCTTTGGTGACGAATGTTTACAGGCGTTTGAGCAGAAAAATTTCACTCGCGTCGTCTTGGTTACGTCGTTGTTTGTTTGTTTACGTATTTAGATGTTTTCTGTTATTATTGAGTGAATGCCGATTAAGATATTATTTTTTAATGTTTTAATATAGTTTCTAGTGGTTTTGTGGAGCAGAAAAGTTTTTATTTCAGTGGATAGTGATTGAATTGTAGTGTAAGTTCTCTGTTATGGTATGGTTCGTAGTAGTGAAATAGATCGTTGGCTGCTGTCGGAATTTGTTGACGATGTACAGAGTGATGAAGATGATATAGATTTTGCACAGTTACAAGGTGATAATCCCGAAGATGAAAATCCAGAAAGTGACGATGATTTAGCGACAGTTACACCTAATGTTCCTGTTAGTGAGTTTGGTGGTGGTGAGCCTAGGCCTAGCCCTACGCCTTCACCAACGCCTCTTTCACCTAGGCCTATGTCACCCCCCCAACCAATGGAATTGGACAATGTTGAAATGACAATTGAGGATGTAGTGGCTGGTGCGGGAGGTGACAATCCTCTCTCTGCTAGACGTAGGCCTGCTGAAAATGTACCACAAATGATTTGGGAATCCGTTGAGAATTATGAATAGTCATTGAATAGTACGTACCTCAAAAGGAAAATTTTATTGGTATGGGTGAGGTAGGTCCCAAAATAAATTATGAAAATGAGTTAGATATTTTAAAATATTTCTTTGATGACACAATCATGGACCTTATTGTCCATAGTACAAATACCTATGCGGAGCAGCAGCATAGGAAGCAGGGAATGATATTCCATCAGTTTTCTCGTACATGGAAGTGGGTCCCTGTTACCAAAAATGAACTGTATGTTTATTTTGGCCTAGTGATGCTTATGGGTATTGACCAAAGGCCTAGTCTTAGAGCATACTATTCAAAAAATGGTTTGTTACGTACTGATGTGTATCCAAGTACAATGCCGTTGGAGCGGTTTCAGCTCATTTCCAAGTACTTGCATTTTTGCGATGAAACGAAACTCAGTGAGTACAATGGACAGAAAGGTTTGTTTAAAATTTTTTCTATCATTGATCATTTAAATAATAAGTTTCAGGCAGCATATGGCCTTTCCCAGAATATTTCAATTGATGAATCGTTAACTTTGTGGAAAGGTCGCTTGGGGTTCAAACAGTATTTGCCGCTGAAGGCAGCTCAGTTTGGGATTAAGTCTTTTGAGATTTGTGAATCATCTTCGGGGTATACCTGGTCATTTCTTATATACACAGGTAAAAGCATGGTTTTTGACAATCCTATTGTCCCACCAAAGTCAAACAAATCCACTGCAATTGTTTTATCTCTCATGGCGCCTCTTCTCGATAAGGGTTTTACACTCTGGATGGACAATTGGTACAATTCACCGGAACTTTCAAAGTTATTGAAAGAAAGGAAAACTGACACTTGTGGCACCATGAAACTGACCAGGAAGTGTGTACCTGATGAAGTAAAAAGTCAAAAGTTGGATAAGGGTGAAATAGTTGTATTGCATAGCGAAGATGTCATGATCATGAAATGGCGCGATAAACGAGTTGTCTCTCTTATTTCAACCCGCCATTCCCATGAAATGGGAGTGAAAACTAGCAAGAGTGGTAAGCAAGAAATTAAGCCAGTTTTGGTACTTGACTATAATAAAAAAATGGGAGGGGTTGACTTGAGGGATCAAATGCTACACAGTTATCATCTTGAAAGAAAGAGGGGGCAGAAATGGTATATACAAATTTTCAAAAGACTGCTAAATGTTACTGTTTTAAATTCCTATCTTATTTGGAAATGTACCAAACAAAAAAGTGAACATTTTGCCTTCAGATTAGAACTGGTAAAAATGTTATTTGAAACCTATGGATCCCAAGTGCAGAGAAATGTAAGTGGTATACCATCAATTGAACCCAAACCAGCTCGGCTAACCGAAAGACATTTCCTTTACCTCATTCCACCTACTGCAAACAAAGTGAATGCTCAAAGAAGATGTTGTGTGTGTTCCAAGAGAGGAATTAGAAGGGACACTAGGTACTGGTGCCCAAAATGTGAAGCTGGACTATGTTTGGGAGAATGTTTTGAAGATTACCACACCAAACTCAACTTTTAAGGTATGAAAAACTTTTATAACTGTCCTAGACTTTTAATGTAGGGCCTATTATATATATTTTTTTTAAAGCCAGTAATTTGCTGTTTAATTTGGTAAAAGAATTGTTAAAATATAATTATAAATAACAAAGTTATATGCGTTTATTGTACAAACGTTCCGTGCCTGCTGGAAAGCCTAAAAAACCCACGCAGCAGGGTTGGTCTTTATTAAAAAAACTCGCGCGTTGAAGGGTTAAAGTTGTAGTTGCGTTGACTGTTAGTGTACATTATTATTGTGGTGAATAGTGGAAATAAGGTATAGTGTGGTGAAAAATAGCGTTTGTACTACGGACCGAAATGGTTTTGCAGCTCTCGACCGTTTTAAGTTCTCGACTTCGCCTCGAACTTAAAAACTATCTCGAGCCAGCAAAACCTCATTTTTGGCCCTAGGTACGAAATATACTATTTTACAGTTTATAATATGAAGAAGCAAGTTTAGGCACAGTAAACTAAAAACTTTTACTATTCAGGTTACTATGTCAGGTTTACCGATCTAAAATAAGTAAACAGTATAATATATATTATACACATTTAAAACTTAAAGGGTAAAAACACAAATAGGCCAAGCTGTATGGTTTGGAGGGAAAAATAAAATGTAAACCTTCAAGTGGAAGTGGTACACAAGGAAAGACTGTGGGTGGTGTACCTTAAAAATAACTATGGTTTTTCTTATTGATTGAGATTGAGGGGCAGATGAAGTTAGTCCAGGGTCGCTTTAGTAAATGGGCTCGGTGGGCTTGGGCCAAGGGGGACAAGGAAGAGACAAATTCCTCCGCAAGGAAAGGGGAATGAGGGCGCAAACTCTCAACATATACAAGTCTTGTGACCTACACTAAAGGACTTGTGAACCGCGAGTCTGGTTTCGTTACGTTGTAAGCTTTAAAGGTATGGCATATAGGAATTTTTTAACTGCTTAGCAGACCACATCTTAAAGCTGGGTCTTAAAATTTAGGGTGGTTGAAATTCTGGGGCCTAAAGTAGAGGATGGCATTTTTCAATTCCAACATCATTGAAATTTTGTAATTTTCATGGGGATTGGAATGAGTCTTTGACATTAGTTTGTGATCTAAGCTGGGTAGCAAGTGGTTATAGTGGTCACATAGTAATCGAAAGGTCGCCGATTCAATCCTGAGAAGTTTGTAGTTTTTAGATGTTTTGAAATAGGACCCAGCTGTCCTTAATCATCGGGCTTTTAATAGATGGTCCTGGCTAATGAAACAGCTGGTCTTAGTTGTAACAAAGCTACACCGCTCACTTCATTTTACACTCATATTTGGGTAAAACATGCGCCCCCAATCACAATTAGTAATGTGAACCCTTTCAAAACGTACTAGAGACTTAAAATTAGTCAATAATGTACAATGTGATCCAAAGTCATCAGGAAACTTTCCATACAAAACATTTTTAAAATCTAACCTAACTTTAATGTTGTAATTTATTTTTATTTTCTATCTTGCCTCCTTGCCATCAGATTGTGCTCAGTTTGTTGTAATATAAGCTTTTCCCTTATAGGTAAAAAAAACCCTGTGTCTTGATTGTGACCATGGCCAATACCTGCGACTAGCACATAGAGGTCTGGATTCACCATATATCTCCTGTTGCTCCAAATCGCTTTTGACACTTGTGTGTTTTTACCCCAAAAGGAAAGATCCAATCTAATTGGATACACACAGACTAAAGTAACTTCCACAAAACGATTTAAAAAAGTATAAAACTATTTGACACGCAATACTCTCCACAATAAAATAATTTATTTTGGTTAGTGCTCTTGTAAAAATAGTTGACAAACATAATAATTTCGTATATGTTACAACTTCAATTAAAGTACTTAACCAAAATTCCTATTTCAAATAAGTCCTCTTTTCTTCTTGTAATCTTCCAAGTTCAACGAACGTCGAGGCCCACTATCCTTCATTGCGTTGGAAGGTTTTGGGGTAATACTTACTGGGTTATCTGTAAAATGTCATATTGTTAACAATAGTCGAAATCCTAGAAGAGAAAGCTTAGGCCCTAGGCTTGCCACACACTGTAGCAGTCAATGCGTGGCAGGGTGAAGTGAGGCAAGTCACTCGACTTGTCTTCTTGCAAAGGGGACACACACAACAGAAATCGAGGCACCAAGTTCTGCACAGTTTTAAAGATCTTTGTGTTGCCAAATGCAAGGAAAAAGACTGGGACCAAGCTCCAGATATTTTAACGTAAAATTTCTTGAACTTGAACAAACTTTACTGTTATAAAAGTTGTGCTGCTGGCATGAGTAGGCTAACCTCTTCACAAGCAATATATGTTGGTTTTGTGTAGCGTCTAGTGGTAAGTTCCGCTACTGCATTGAGCCGAGTGATTGACTGGCAATTTGTTGGAAGGGTTCAATATAGACTGTCTAGAATTTCACTCACATGTTTGATATAGTTCTTAAATAATTGCTTTTATAAAACTAACAAAAACCAACTAAATTTCATCAACTTATCTTATTTATTTACCCTGAATGATTTACTTTACTAATTGAAAAATCACCAAGCACAATAAAAACATCTGACAGTTTTATGTTTTAAGAAAAGTACCACTTTCAACGCCTTTTCAGTACTGAGGACCAAGGAATAGAGCTTACTTGGTAACGGCACTTCCAAATCGATCTTGATGTCAAAGTCGTGAGCTAGAAACAAGTCCTCAGTCTTGGCTTTGTCAGCTGTTGGTTTGACAGGCTCAACCCTGTTGTTGGGCTCTGGCACAGGCTTGGCAGGACTCTCGATGTTTTCTTTGGAGGCCTACAAGACACACAAAATGCTAGTCAAGAAATTGTGCATACAATCTTTCTATAACAGGGTGTCTACTAAATCTGGTTTGAAAAATTCAAGGAGTTTTCCAGGAGAATTCAAGACAAATTCCTGAATTTTAAGAACTACTATCGGAACCCAACTTTTTAAAGCTTTATCACACCGTTTTACATTAACTCAAACTTTTAAAGATTTTAAAAAGAAATCATTATTTGGTACTTCAGTATTAAACGGAGGCCACCATTACGAAACGCGCCGCGGCACTTATAGAGGGTTAAATTGTTATAGATGTTGTAGTAGAACTATTCTAGTATTGTTGTGAGTCGAGCGTTATCAGATGAGTCATGTGTCTACTCGCAGAATCCCCTCCAAGTAGGCCAATGTCAGGGTCGTTGACCGGAGCGCGCGCCATTACCTGTCATCGCCTGTCACTGTGTCTGAAACGGAGGCCACATTTTGTCAGCGCGCTGCGGCGGTTATGTTAGTTTGGGTTATCATAATAGAAAGTATAACTCGTCTGGTATCGTTCGATTCATAACGAAGCGAGGAAAGTCCTACACACATAATATTTACGATAACCCAACCTAACATAACCGCCGCAGCGCGCTGACAAAATGTGGCCTACCGACATTGCTGCGTTCTTGGTTGCACAACGTCAGAACCAGGCGTCGGATTAATTCTAAACTTCACCTGTTAATCTATTAAAGTGTGTTCTTTCCAAGTATGTAGTTATTTTTGGTATCCGGTACGAAATATTTCTGTGGGTTAGGTGGCCTCCGTTTAATACTGAAGTACCCATTATTTTATTACATAATGCTCAACTAATGTATTTAAAATGGTATTTAAAAAGTAGAAAGTTAGAAATTGTATTATTTATTTGTTTAATAACTGGTAAGATAGGCACTACGGTGGCGTAACTATGGTGGGGGGGGGGGGGGGGGTGACTGGGATAGAACCCACCCAAGAACCCTAAAATGAAAATCAATATTTACATCACAGCAACCCTACTTCTTTAAAATACAGTTGCGTTAAGTTTATAACTAAAACTGATGATTTAGTTTTTAATTTGGTTTTATTAATCTTAATTCATTAATTATTAGTTGATTTGTATAGTAAACTAATTTTAAAAGGTTTATTTAATGAATAAGACCCAGGCAGAGGGAGTAAATTTGGAGAGTCTGACTGACTGGTAGTAATAACACTGCCGGCATGCTTGGTAAGCACTAAGCAGACTCACAACGGCTTTTAGGTTAGTTCTAGTTCACTTAGTAGACTTGTAACAAATATTAAATGAGCCATTTCATTCTGAAATACATTGTACATATTATGAATAAAGACATATTTGATTTGATTTGATGTTATTTAGTAAAATGTTGACCCCCCTATTTGTTGGAGGGTATTGCACACCCCCCAGACGACCCCCCCCCCCCCCCACCCACCACGAGTGCAGACGTTGAGCTCATCCATTCCCCCAAAAGCCATGTTCTAGTTACGCCACTGAGGCACTATAACTTTAAAACAAAACTTGTTCAAGGAATAATAGTTTATACAACATATTAAAACAGTATTAATAACAGCAAGGCGACACAAGTTAACGTCTCCCACGATTGCGGCAATACCCATGAGCATATTTTGCGGTTTCAGCGACAACGATAGTTCATTGTTTCCCGCAATACCCGTGAACATATTTTGCGGTTTCGGCAAAACCAATAATCGTTTCCCGCGATTGCAGCAATAACCGTGCCGTGAGCATATTTTGCAATTTTGGCTACACCAGTAATTGTCTTTCGCAGTCACGGCAATACCAGTGCGTGAGCATATTTTGCAGTGTCGGCGACACCGATAATCGTTTCCCGCAATCGTGCAACACCAGTGGTAGTCTTTCGGTCAAACTGCGTTTTCGATGATGGGGCTCCGGATTCCAGGAGGTTTGGGTTAATTCCTGGAGTTTTCCAGGATATTTCAATGAAATTCCCAAAGATTTCCCGGTTTTCTTGAATTTCCTGGAGATTGGACACCATGTATAAACTGTGAGGTACTAGTTGTTAAAATGATCAATATTAGCAAACCTACACATTCTTCCATTAGCTTGACATTAAAATCTAACATCATACAACTTTATAACTAGCCTACATAAATTGCACTACTACATAAACTTTAAATTTTTCTAAAATTGAAATACAAATTTAAACCTTTAAATAATTAAATACTTAAAAATATTATAACTTCCACTTACTACATCTGGAGGAGGAGGTGGGGGATTTGAATCAGGTGCTTTGAACACCATTGTAGGCTTCGTACTACGTCTTGTAAACGGGTCATCAATTTTCTTGCCCTTATTCGCCTTTACTTCTTCCTAAAAATGAAATAGGAAAATCAACCTATGTTATGGTACCAAAAGGCACATAATTCTTTAATTGGCTGACTCTGTATTGCAATGAAAATTAACACACAAACACATACCAGAATCAGTATGATAATTCTTTTTAAGCTTGCTGGTTGGCTTGTCTTTGAATTGTGTACTACTCCACATCTCTACATTTTTTATGCTGGAATAAAATTATTATTTCACAGTACTTCATGTGCTAACAGTTTTTCAAGTAAATGCGTCGATAACCTTACATTATTTACATTGATGCGGCAACTTTTTGCTGAAAATTCTATTGTCAAATTTTGTAAGTCAAATTGCAAATTCATTATATTTTCTGAAAATTCAATGAATTTGAGATTCTAGTGTCAATTGACACATTACAAAACATTTTTTTACCATGTTAAAGCTATAACCATGCAGCCAGTTTTGAAATGTGATACAAAATAAAAATTAACTACTGACAGAAAATGGTAATGACAATTGCCCAATTCTGTCGATTGTGCCTACATTTTATTCAACCAAGCCAAACTAAAAGGAAAAGGATAAATTTAAATTGTCAACTACAGTAGGCCTATCATTGATGTCATATCCAACTATCAAAGTAACAAAAGTTAAGGAAGAATATCAAATTTTATCAGAAACACATTCAATAGCTGTTTCAACTAGTTTTTTAAACATAAAATACATACTAGCAGATGCAGCCAATTATTATTTTTTAAATAAAAATGACACAGTTAAAAAGCTATTTATAATTATTGAGCTAAAGACTAAAGTTCTATTTCCTCCCATACATTTTTCTTCCTTATGCTATTAGTTTATAGTTTATTAAAACGCTGGGAGTTAACAATAAGATTACCCTCCCGTTCGGCATGGCTAACAAGTTGGTGTACTCAACACGAATAAGTAATTTGTACCAGCAGCACGCTCTGTCAGTTGCCTCTGGTTTCACTTCCTTAAATGTTATCCTAAAACTGGCCACAACTTGGAATTACTAGTTCTATCCTTAGAAAATGAATAGAGTTCAACTGGCTTACCTGAGAGAGTCCTGGGGCTAATAGATATGGGGACAATAAAAGAACATAAAACATGACATAATATTTTGTCCTGAAGTAGTACTTTTCAGAGAGCAGTTTCTTTTCTCTTCAACCTACTCTATGAAGAAGTCCTTGTCCTACTTCAGGATGAAATTTCAGTGTTATGTTTTGCGTTCTTTTTTCTTTTATTGTGAGTGATTAGCACTTGGACTAAATTTTTTCAGGTAAGCTATCTGAACTCTTTTGTTTTCTAAAAATCACTTACTAGTCAATAGGCTTTACTTTCAAATATAGGTTTTTCTACCCATATTCAATGATGCCACAAAATCCATTAAAAAACCTTGGCCTAAAGCTATTAAAAAAACTTGATAGAATAGTAGGATAGGTTCAAAGACTACCATGATAGCCTTCTCCGCCTCCTCCACGTTCCTCTTGCGGTTGCGGTCATTGATGTAGCTGATGCTGGAGATGGTGGAGGTCCTCATCTTGTCCAACTCCACGGCTCTCTCCTCCAGATCATGCAGCTGTTGTATGATCCTGGCAGCCTCCACCTCGTCTCCTCTACAACAACCCACACATGTATAAGGGTTTCATCTTCACACTCTCCCAAGTAATGCTTTACCCATCACTTGTTGAGTTCATTATGCCTCGTCTGATGAACGCAGAAATTCAATTTCTCATAGTAAAATTTTTGTTGTATACAACACTGTGTAATATGATTAAAAGTAGAAATATTTCTGGTAAAAAATCCATCCTCTGGAAATCCCTGGTGCAAATCTACCCATTCCCTTAACTCCTCCAAGTTCTGAAATGGAAAGCTTAGTCCCCATGAGTTACACACCAGACTTGACCACAATCTACCATGCTGTTTCCTGGGCAGAGAGTCGGAATGTTAGGCCACTCTTGATTAAATAATATTTATACAGTTTGTATTCCAGCCAAGCATGTCCATGCAAGAAACTATAGTGGGAAGCTTGAAGATAAAATTGGTTAGTTTTATGTTACAAAAAGATTATTTACACTTCCTTTTTGAACCAGTGACAGGGTAACTTCCAATCAGATTCTAAAGTTACTTTAAATACCGTTGGTGATAGTCAAGGCAAAATAGGCCCAAGCTAGACCAATTTTAGCTTAGGCTAAAATAATGTTTTATGTACACAAAACAGAAATTCACTGGGGCACTCGACCAAATTGTCAATCAAATTGTTAAAGGACACAAAAGATTTTATCACCAAGAACTTTGAAACAACAAACCATTGAATCTTACCTAGACTGGGCCATGTCTCTATCCTTCATTAACTGAGTCTTTTTCATAGCGTAGTTGTAAGGGTTTTGTTTGAATCTTCCCTTTTCTTGGACAATCTGAAATTGTGTAAATTACTCAGATTTAAATTTCATATCATTGTTCGAGGGCAATCATTATACATTAGTAAATAGGCTATATTGTGGTCTTTCAACAGTCTATGAAGTTATTAAGCGTAAACTACACCTAATAAGAGTCTTCAGGAAATCAAATTTGACTGTCAAGGTTTAAAATTAAAAAAACCAATTAACCTACTGTACCTCAATAATTAACATTTATTGAATTTTATACCGTACTTGAAGACTAATAATTGATAGCAAAAATTATGGCTCACAAGACTTGGTGAGCCGGTGGCTCAGTTGGTGGTACAACAGACTGAGGAACCAAAGCATCTAAAGTTTTTTTTTTGTATCGCACCAAATCACCTTATACTTTACTTGAAAGTTCCATGCACAAGCATTTAAAGCCTATATGGACAGAAATTAAACGTCAAAAGAAGCTACAAACATCTTTGATAACAATTTGTCAGGCTATGTGCTTCATTAGAAACACTATGGTCTGAACTTTTTGTGTGCTACCAAATGCTGGTATTTTTTTTCTTAAGCGAGTCAGTTGTGTATCCACCCCTTAAGTATTCCTAAGCCACAGGCTTTTCCCTGAAAATAACAAACCTACTAAAAAGTATCACGAGGTGGTTAACCCATTGAGGCAGGAATATTTTTTTTGTTTTCTTATTATTTTTTTAGATTAGCGGTATGCTGTTTTTTGCATTTTGTTTTTTGCATACAATTCATCCTGACATGTTCATATTCACCCTTAAAAATAGCCAAAAAATAATTATCTTTGTCCTTGTCCTCTGTATAGAGGACGAGGGGACCTATACTAATGTAAAAACAAGCAAAAAAGGTGCTGTTTGTGCAATAACTATTAAACTCAATAATGCTGTCAACTTCCACCCAAGCCGGACACTGTTTATTTAAGGGGGTGGGCCCTTCCCACAGCTAAGCCACATTTCGATGGATTACGCACCCTACGGAACACTACACTGACGGTAAAACCGCAATGCTACACTCATCATAAATCATAATCATAAATCTTTATTGGTCATTAAATAACATATGTTACAATAGACCTCGTTAACAAAAAAAAGGGTCATAGATTCTAGATAGTATAACATGGTCTATAACATGGAATCTTCACTAAACTTAAATATAACAAAGACAACAAGAAAATAAAAGCTTTTCACAGTCGGCTTTCCAGGAGAAGTGGAACAACATGCCAACACTATTGCTTTTACTTAGGTTATATTTGACGGACTAATCAATTGGTCAACAAATTGTCCAATACTCTTTCTGTTAATGGCCACTAACAAGATGCCCCAAGCTTTACTTGGGCTTAGGGTTTAAACTGTTTCGTTAGTGAAAAATCTATTGTTTCTAGAGCTGAAAGAAAAAGAATAAATAGCTAAAAAGTAGAAATTCCACAAACCTTTTCAATGTCTTCCTCCTTAAATTCGTAGATCAATGCCTCCTTGATATCACTGAGTTTTTTATCAATGTCGTCTACGGTGGGTATGGAAATGCCTTGTACGGCACATGTCTCCCGCCACTTGTAGTATTCTGATTCTGTAAACTCCTGCAACACAAACCACTTTTAAAATCTGATTGTGTAATATAGTAAGTATGAAATAAATACATTTGCTAAATTTGATCACAATATATTTAAGCACAGCAAACAAAAACAGTTCAACTATTTTTCTTAAGAATAGCATGGAAACTTTATATATTTACGGTTTTATGAAATGTTCTACGTAACCATTAAATGTAGGCCTACAACAGCACTTCAATATACCACTTACTAAATTAGCTTTTTTTAAGCTCCACAAAATATTTTAGAAATTAATTGTGAAATGTTATGTTTTGAGTGTGAAAAATGGGAAATGCCGATTTTCTCCCCATAAACCACCGCCCCCAATAAATGCCCAATCCCATAATCCTATCATGCTGGTTCACAAATGCATTTGGATGGATAAGTAGGTTTACTCCTACGAAATTTCATCAAAATTGGATAAGTTGTCCTCAAAAATATTAGAGTATATTAGAGGTCTGCGAGCGGCTTGATTTTCATGCCAAGTTGAGCCCAGCTTACAGGCTCGAAAAATCGAACGCCAAACAGAAAATTTTAGAAGATTCCAGTCGCCTATGAAGATAGTGGGATCGACAAATTTATTTTTTCTCCACAATCGCAGATGACTAAAATAAAAAATCTGTGACGGCAGGAAATGTTCAATGTTTTGCCGTGATCGTAGAAACGATGATAACGTTAGTGTAGGCCTACCTGATTATGACACAACTGTGTTAGACGTTAAGGATTTTACCACGAATGCAGAGGATAATGATGATGTCTGCACAATAGGGGGAGTTGTTCAGGATTTTGCCGCAAATACAGAAGACGATGATGATTTTTCTGTTACTGCACCAGACGATTCAATTCAATTCAATTATTTAAGATAGGGGACGCCACTATGTGCGTATTTTAACCCAAACATGAGTGAAGGATGAGTGTAGGATGAGTGGCGCGATCTTGTAGTCTTGTTAGTGACTAAAGCCGACATATTCCTTAGACACGACACAACTGTTAATTAATAGCCCATACAGCTAATGACAACTAAGGGACCTACAGTTGATAGTGAAATCCGAACCACATTTTTCCTTGTAATTAGGGGTGTGCGAATAGTGATTTTCAACCTCGAGCCGAGCCGAGCCGAGCTTTTTAAAAAAATTTCGAGCTCGAGCTTTTTCGAGCCGAGCTTTTCTAGCGTCACCTTATCTAAATTATTAAACTTTTTATTCTTAAAAAAGTGCATAATAATTGAGTAGTAGACGTTAAGCCGATTTCGTTATTTTCATTGATGATATTTGACAAATAAATAGTAAGAAAGGAAAATGTTTAACCCCTTTAAATATTGACATACTAGGCCTACTAATAATCGGCAACCTAGACATCGCTTGCGTCATCCATTTCACTGACAGCGACAGCGCCGACAGCTGAGCTGACACTGGGACTGGGTGGGTGATACTGATAGGCAGTGGCAGTGGTGTAGGTGTGCGAGTGCGATGCATCGAATCCCGATTCGATCCAGCATGCATCAAAATCCCGATGCATCGATTACGTCACGATACAGCTCTACTAGTAAAAAGAGATGATTCGATTATCGTCATCGATACCACCGATACTTGGACATTGGTATCGGTACCAAGACTCGATTGTCAAAAGTCGATTCCGATGATACCGACATCCGACAGGGATAAATATTTTATTTTAGCATTTATTTACTGTATAGCTACAGTATTAGTTTTGTCATCACGGTTAACAATTTTCATAGCCAACTTAGAAACTATCTAGTTCAAAACAGCGACGGTGCCGGGGACATTGTTTAGCTTCAGCATTGCACAACACAATCTACGAATCTACATTTCAAGATGTCAGACTCAACTCAAGAGACAACCGGCGCGCGAATGTCCTGCCAACACGAAATTAATTATCCTAAACAATGTCTGTATCAATAAGTCAGACATTTAGATGTATTATTTTTATTTTTAGTACATCGTCGAAATTTTCAGTTCAATAATCTCTGCATTATACGCATAATTAGAAAAATTATATTCAACCATTAAACTTTAACATCGTCATATGGTTAGGCTTGCTTTATATTGCGCCAAAAAGTAGATCCATATTTTGATATGTACTATCTACCTGATTAAAGAGTTTAGTGAAGTTTTAAGTGCTACTATAACATAATGTATTTATTGAAAAATATTATAAGCCTTAGTCCGTGTCGATTTTGTAATGTTAAAACGATTGGTGAATGTTGACCATAAAAGTATGTAACAACAGTTCTCATTGGTCAGGAGGCGTCAGTGCACTACCATGTCAGCCAATCGACTTTCGTGTTTCAATGGAGCAAATGACGATTGCTTTGATCGTTTTATGTGCTTATTGTGGGTGGAAAGGGTATCGATAAATATCGTGATTCGAGATCCGATATGTAGGACGTGTTTGTTTATAAATAATGAGTATTTAAGTATAAAAAACTAGGTTACAGACAGGTTCAAAACTTTGATTGTTCCGATCCATTGTTGACACCCCTACACGGAGGTTATAGTGACGTCGTGCATAAGGGCCAGGCAGGCCGGTTCACAGTGAATCCACTCTGCCTGCCGAACCTTGTTCTTGGTATAATCGGGAACATAGTCAACACTTTTGTTGCTAAATAAAACTATGAAATGTTTGTTAAAAGCACTCTTTTGGTCTTTTGGAGATTTTAGTCCCAAAACATAATCTATATTGTAGGCTAAAAGTAAAACCTATCTATTGCCATACTTTTCTCCACAGACGTCGACATAGGCTATTATGCAATGTCTTTAAAAAATACCAGGGTTTCAGTAAAATACTTTTGTAAACATTGACAATGTGCTGTTTTAGCACAGTTCATTCCTTGACCGCGATCGTTTTTACTCACTAAAGAAAAGACTCTCCTTACAAAATGTATTTGTAGGCCAAGACGTTTGTAATTTTTTTAATGTATAACTGCAATTGCTTTTAAAGAAATACAAAAACTGACAAATGACTTAGATTAATACTTAAAAAGTTAAGCCTATTTATAAATTAGAGGAAACTTTATTAGATCTCATCATAGTCAAATTCAAACATTTACATTATTTCAAAATAATTAACACTCTTGTGTAATGGAAATCTGCAAGCGACTGAGGCCGAGGGTGAGGGAGGGCATGTGAACCAGGCTTTAGAACAAGGGCAAATTCTGCCAAACTTTTTCTTTTCCTCCCCCATGTCCCGTTAGACGGTGGGTGGGGCTTCACACAGACACAATAAACAGTACAGTTCATTCATTCACAGTAGAGAAGAGTTTTTGTGGCAGTGACGTATGTCTCTTGTCTGCTCTTCAAGTTCACACATCTGGACTTCTTTAAAACAATTATAAGTTATAATCTTTATTAAAAATAAGTGAAAAACTGTTGACATTTTCAAGGAAAAAAGTTGAGAAATGAAAGTGTTAAAAATTTTGTTTGATTAGTTATTCTGTATTTCAAAAATATCCTCATTTATGATTATGTTTTCAGCTGGACTTGGTTACTTTTTCATAGTTCAAATTTTGAAGTTATATAATTAGTGAGAAAATGTCATTATATAGGAAGGTAGTTTTTACTCACTTGGGGGAAAAAAATTACCTTACAAAGAGTATTTGTAGACCAAGATACTCAATTTTGTTATCTAGAAGGGTCGGCAACTAATCAATAAATAGCCAAAACCAGTTCCCTCCCCTTCTTGCAGTCTCACCACCACCCCTCCCCCCTACACCGGGAGGCCCAACACTGTCCTTGAAACACACACGTCCTTTGTACCCCTATGAAACAATAAACCCTTATACCCGTGTTGCTGTTTTGACAAAAGGTTTATGAATGTGATCACTATTTTTCATTTTCCAGAATTAACTAGATTATTATTATTTGCAAGTTACAAATAGGAAACTACATCACATTATGGTATTCAATGACCCATGTATTATTATAAAAAAATAATAATTCATTACTTTTTTTGATAATAAAAAGCATTCATTACAGCTTGCATCACTTATTGATACATATAATCATCAAGGTGACTGTTACTTTATACAAAATAAAATAGGTACAAAATTGTGTGGCCAGTCAAACTTTATAAACAAACATTTTATTCTATAAAATACAGATGGTAAATAGGGGTTGGTTTAAAGGAAATAAAATACAAAACAGATAATTAATTATTTTGATAAACATTAGAAAGGTTATGGGATTGATTGAACTAAAAATAACTAAAGTCGTCAACCACAATCTGTTTAATCAGTACATTGTTAGAGAGAGAAAGAAAGAGAGATAGCAGATAGGGGCGTTTGATAAGGAATCTGAAAAAAGTAAACAAACAAGGAACAACGACAGACGATACTGTTTACAGCCTTATTGTGTCGCCCACTACATTTGCACACGTGACCACTTTTTGTTTCTTCCTTATCTTTCATCCGTCCCAAAATAGAATTCCTGAAATAGTTTGTTGGTATAATCTCCCCTCCCACACAAGGCGCAGTGCTCAGTGCGCACTGTAGGTTGTCACGGCAACCGTGTGTCGTCATAGCGACAAGCCAATCACGCACTCGCACTGCGTTGTATATTACGATACGAATAGCTGTGTTAGAATAGAAAGACAACGCGATAGGTGGTAGTTTGTCTCTTTCCTATCTCCTCAAAATTACGATCGATAATCATTGCGTCTTGACTGATCTGAGGTTCGTGCTTATCAAACCTCGAATGCATGAACAATGTAGAATTGTGATAACATTGTTTTCAATTATGACCCAAATTAAGTGTTTTTTTCGTTTTGACTTGGTATTAAAAGCTCGGCTCGAACTTCGAGCTTTTTCAAAATGTCTCGAGCCGAGCCGAATAATGAAAAGCTCGACCAAAAAGCTCGAAGCTTCGAGTACTCGCACACCCCTACTTGTAATTAACAAATTGTTCTAATTATCAGGATAGTACTGCAGTTAGTCGTAGTACTTACTAGTGCGGACGTTAATCCACACCAGGGAGTATCGCATCCACAGTGCATGCCTATAAATATCCACAATTCGTGACCTCCTAGTAGCTGGATTACAGGACGATGCCACCCGTCCCAGTATTGGTGCTGTTAACACAACTGCGGGAGAAGTTCTACATATTGCTATTATGGCTCTGTGTACAGTGATGTTTCTGTGATCGCGGGAAAAAAGAATTTAAACACTACCAAGGATGTCCAGGATTTAGCTATGGAGGACGATGATTATGTCTTTGGGAACATAGATGTTTAATATTTTGCTACGATTGCGGAGGTGAATGATGTCCACTCGACCGCAGTAGACGATAAGAATTTTGCTGCAATCGGGGAAGACAATGGTGATTTCTGCCGGTTTTTTCACAATCTTGCTACGATCACGGAAGTTGCTGATGTCTACACAACCGTATTTTTTCCAGGAGAGTTCCATATTTTTCCGTGATTGAGGAAAACAATGATGATTTCTACCCGACCGCGGGAGATGTTAAAGAAACAAGGTCTTAATTTTTAATTTATTTTGTCATATGGAAAAGTAGCGAAAAACATAAACATTCTAAAGTCGGGCTAACTACAGGCATTGTGGCCTCACATACCTGGTTACTGACAAACTCCAGTCGAAACACTCTCTCTTGCGCTCCGTGTCTCAGCTTCAGACCCTTGTTGGTACGAGTGTTTCCCAGCTGGTAAATCTTGGCGGTTTCACACACACCACTGATCTCCGCAACCTGCGATAACAATGAACTTTTACAGCTACCAGCACATTTCTATGATCATCGATCGTCACAGACTAAAAGCAAAAACTATCAAGAGCTTCAATATATAATTTGACGAATTCATTGTAATAATAAACTAATTTAATTCCAGATCCATAAAATAAAGGTAAAATGTGTACCAAATGGCTTGGTATTAATTAGGTTGCTTTCACATCTATCAGGAGGATACAATGTGTGTGTATCGCTGAGAATGCCCAGTACTGACAGGAGATTATTCGCATGATGTTGGCTACAACTAATGAGGTCCCATGATAACCATAATTTGTTTGTAAAAACAAAATGAGTTAAACAGCTTATTTGGATATTTCTGACCTTTTTGCTTAATTTTATCCACTATCTTTAAATACCACAACATAAACTAACAAAAATAAATAACAACATAAAACACAAGAAACAAAATAAAAATTCAGATAATAAATAAATAATCCTGTCTTTGGATGGACAGAAGAATTGTTTTGTTGGAAAACCATTATGGAATGTAATGATTGTTGGATCTATTTATAGATCTGTAATTATAAAAAAAAAAAAAAAACAGAGTAACACACAAACACATAATAACTATCAATACTGTAAGATTCTCACCCTGTAAACTGGTTTTCCGTTATGATTGCCGATTCCAATTCTGACAAAACAACCCTCTACAACCCTATTGAAGAATGGCAGGTGAACAAACCTGTAAAAAGTACAAACAACACAGACTTTACAACCTGTTTTATCTAATTAATTTAAAACCGACATTAGGATAATTAGGGCAAAGCTAACAAAAGCAGAAAACAACTCAATGCTAAGAAAACTGAATGATCATGTGGAGGTCAATATAATAAATGTTAAAAGGATAAAATTAAATCTGAAATAATTAGTTATGATACTTACTTAACAATAGACAGCTATTGAGTTTGCAGAAAAAGTTGGGATATTTTTATATACAATACTCTTATAACCTTGCCCATTGTAAAACCCTTTTTGTTGAAGCAAAAGTCCTTACGGCGCCAGCAATATTTATTTTGCAATATGCCCTAATAGTTAAGAAGAACCCGAACTTGTTTCCACAAAACAATACAATACACAACTACTCAACAAGGCAAAAAAAAAACAACATTCATCTAAATCAAGTCAACTCAAGTTTAGTAAAGGGCGGACCAAAGTTAAGCTTAATATCTACAACTTGATCTCTCTAAATATCAAAAACATTGAAGATCAAGATGAATTCAAGAGGAAATTCAAAGAATATTTATTGAAGAGGCCATATAATTCTATTGAAAAATATCTGAGAGAAAGATAGGCCATAAAAAACTGACGACCACGGCGCAGCTGCGCTACCAATGGAAGATCACCAAGAATCAAGTATCAAGTAAGTAAATAAGTAAATTTAAATCTTTGTTCCAAGCCTGCAAACATTGTTTCTTACTACTTGTTAATCGTACTGAGTGCAGCATAAATTTGTGGTTGTGGTGGTACAAAATACAAATTACCTCTCCATCTTGTGCCTGGAAAGTCTAATCTTGTTGAGTTCCTCTTTTGTTGAAATGTACTGCACTTTCTTGACTTTTGAACTGGCCACAGACCTGCAAGTGGAAATTATTTTTTGTTACAAACCACTAGCGATTGGGGACTAAATAAGAAATAGTGAATGGGTTTCTTAACTGTAATTAATGTGCAAAAAAAACTGTTTATAATTTTTTTTTTATTTGAGTTTTATGCATTAGGGAACTAAATTTAAAAATAAATTTGATATAATTTAAATTATACCGTATGTACCTATTGTCCGAGCCACTGTCTGAGTCAGAATCACTATGGGACGAGCTGGAGCTGCTTCTTGATCTTGCTTTGTTCTTCTCCTTCCCTTCGCTGTCACTGCCACTGCCACTGTCGTCACTGTAGATGTCAGACGCCTACCGAACATGTCATGGTTATGATTCATTGACATTCAAGCTTCTGAATCAATAATAACAGTTTTACGTTTGTGTAAATTTGAATAACATATATAACCAAACAAATAAAAAAATCTTTATTTATCCTGTTTCAACCAGTGACATAAATAGCGCCAATAAAAAAATTTTTCTTTAACTAATTATTAAAAATGACTAAAATGCATTCTTCCATGGATTTTTAATTAAATAAGTCCTTCAAAATATTACAAAATATATACATGTTTTTTTCCCCAGCTGGCCCCTGCAACGGTACAATTAAACAATACGGACTTGTTTCCGCCCGCGAGAACATTACATCTAATCATAATATATGTATACAATGTCGTACATGTGTTTTTGTGTACCGGTAGAGAACCCCCAACCTGACCATGTCCAAGCGACCGACTTCTGTTGAAATTTTAGACAATTAATTGCATCTGTGTGATCATGACACAACCAGTGTGAAACCCAGTGTTGGTTGTTATTACCACATAGTTTGGTAATTATTTACCAAAGAATAGTGGTTTCAGATTACAGTAGTGTGGCATTTCTACCCTGGCGGCCAATATTCAGATTGGCAACATTTGCATCTGTGTGGATGGTTATTATCATAACTTGCTTGGATTTTTTAGACTGGAGGTGTTATACAATCCATATTGGTTTACCATTTCATGTCACAAAGTTCCACTTCATACGACGTTTCATCAAGCACTTTGCAAGCTCACCTTAAGTTTAGGTTTACTTGAAGCTGCGTCGTCGTCATCACCTTCTTCTCCTCTATCCCCCTCTTCTCTTTCCTTTTCTTTTTCTTCTTCTTCTTTCTTCTTGTCTTGCTCGATTTTCTGTTGTTTTTCTTTTTCCTCTGCAAAATTTTAAGAGGACTATGAGCGAATAAGCAGTACATTTTGATGAACATTGACAATAAAAATATGAGTTAGGCCTAGTTAACAAATAAATATGTGACACCAGTAAAGACCCTATTACTAAAAATTGCTCTTAGATAGCCTAAATCAAAGATGTATTTAAATTAAATTATTTAACCCTTGAAACTGCTAAGCGTCACGTTCGTGACTATTCGTTCCCTACCTAAAATGTTAAGTCGAGATTGTGATGCATTATGTAGTGTGTCACAAAACAGCCAAAACACAAAATATAGAAATACTATCTTACTTGTTTTTATTAAAGTAGAAATCCGAAACTACAACCCGACAACTTTCCCTGATCCACAATGGCAGTTCCAAGGGGGGGGGGGGGGACCCTGGACATATAAGTAATTGGACCCTGGAAATATAAATTGTCACATACATTTATAGGCTAATGAAAACTCAACAGAGATATTTGGACAGAGTTGTAGACATTAAAATGGGTTTAAAATTTCACCAAATAGCTTTCCCCAGACCTCTTGCCTTGGAACACCCCTGTTAGCCCCCCCTGAGAAGCTTATAGAACCGCCACTGCTGATCCAAATGCTAACCCCTTGCTTATTGTCTGTCTTTGAAATTGTTTGTCAGCTGTAGTAGACGTTAGGGGTTGTCAGGCCAGACATTTTTACTTGGGTCGAGTCTCTGGCCAAAACTGAGTTTATTTGGAGGGTATTCATTTTTTAAGATATCAACTGTCATACTCATACTAACGGTACAATTGGCTAATAATAATATTGTACTTAATCCCCCCCCATAACCTGTACTGATATTGTAATCATCTTAAAAAATTTACCTTTCTTTTTGGAATAGCCTAAACAAAATTGACCTTCTACAGCCACCATTTAGCCAACACAGGAAACTGCTTCAAAATTAACTAACTTATGTGAGATTTTTTAATAAACTGCCTGACACTGCCCAACTTTCTATGAGATACTTTAAAATTAAATTATTTGAGTGGCTAATTGCCAATCCATTTCATACAATTGACGAATATTTATCATGTCCTCAGATTACCTTAAAGATTTAATGTTATGTTATTGTTTGTTCACCTCTGTATAGAAACTGTTAAATTTAGAAGTATTTGTAATTGTTAGAATCTTTATGTATTTATTTAATTTAATGACTATGCCAATGTCTGAATGCATGGATCAATGGCAATAAAGATTCTTGAACTTCCAATGTCACGGTGACATTTGGAACATCTTCTGCAGTCATCGTTTCACACGATTGTGACAATACTGTGAACATCATCAGGGATTGTAGTGAAATCGTTAATTTTCAATCTCACATCTTCACAGATGCTAATTGCGATCACAATAATAAAAGCGGTAATTATATCGACCTCCGGACCTCACGCGAAATTAAAAATTTCTTTTTTCAAAATGGTCGAAATTTCACGCTGATTTCAAAAATGATTGTCGTTTTTTTCGGAAACGTCCTTTTTTCCCGGAAAATGGGAAAAACGGGAAAAATATTTTTTGCTCAAAACCCATGTTGTGGGTACTCAAATTATGCGGAATTTCCTCCTAAACAAGAATATGTAAATTGTATTACGATCGGACCACTATTAAGTAAAATATCACCGAAAAACGGGAAAACGGGGAATTTTTTTTTTTGCTCAAAACCCATGTTGTGGGTACTCAAATTGTGCGGAATTTCATCCTGAACAAGAATATGTAGTTTTTATTACGATCGCTTTTAAGTAAAACATCACCGGGCAGGTTAACTAACCTAACATAACCTAACTTAGGTTTAAATTAGGTTAGGTTAGGTTAGGATAGGTTTGTTTAGGTTAGGATAGGATAGGTTAGTTTAGGTTAGGTTAGGTTAAGTAAGGTTAGGGTTAGGTTAGGTTAGGTTAGTTAGGTCAGGTTAAGTTAGGTTAAGATAGGTTAGGTTAGGTTGGTTTAGGTTAGGTTAGGTTAAGTTTGGTTAGGTTAGGTTAGCTTAGGTTAGTTTACTTACAATACTTACCTATTCTAACCTAACCTAAACTAACCTATCCTAACCGATCGCTTTTAAGTAAAATATCACCGGACAGGTTAACTAACCTACACAACCTAACTTAGGTTTAGATTAGGTTAGGTTAGGTTAGGATAGGTTAGTTTAGGTTAGGTTAAGTTAGGTTAGGTTAGGTTAAGTTAGGTTGGTTTAGGTTAGGTCGAGTTTTGATAGGTTAGGTTAGATTAAGTTTGGTTAGGTTAGGTTAGGTTTAGTTGGGTTAGGTTAGTTTACTTACAATACTCATGTTATTGATTAACTAACCCAACCTAACCTAACTTACGAACTTAGGTTAGGTTAGGATAGGTTAGTTTAGATTAGGTTAGAATAGGTAAGTATTGTAAGTAAACTAACCTAAGCTAACCTAACCTAACCAACCTAACCTAAACCAACCTAACCTAACCTAACTTAACCTGACCTAACCTAACCTTACTTAACCTAACCTAACCTAAACTAACCTATCCTAACCTAACCTAATTTAAACCTAAGTTAGGTTATGTTAGGTTAGTTAACCTGTCCAGTGATGTTTTACTTAAAAGCGATCGTAATAAAAACTACATATTCTTGTTCAGGATGAAATTCCGCACAATTTGAGTACCCACAACATGGGTTTTGAGCAAAAAAAAAATTTCCCGTTTTCCTGTTTTTCGGTGATATTTTACTTAATATCATTTTACTTAATGTGGCTTTTTTTAAGACCACACTTCGTAAGTGGTCCGATCGTAATACAATTTACATATTCTTGTTTAGGAGGAAATTCCGCATAATTTGAGTACCCACAACATGGGTTTTGAGCAAAAAATATTTTTCCCGTTTTTCCCATTTTCCGGGAAAACGGGACGTTTCCGAAAAAAACGACAATCATTTTTGAAATCAGCGTGAAATTTCGACCATTTTGAAAAAAGAAATTTTTAATTTCGCGTGAGGTCCGGAGGTCGATATAATTACCATAAAAGCTCGGCTCGACCTAATATGTTTGTTTTATGGTCAGTTATTTTTTTCATGCTAGGCCTAAGGCAATTTATTAAAGCAATAACTTAAGTTTTTATTCGGTTCAGCAAAACAATTCTACAAAGATGTCAAAGTCAAAACTATAAAGCACAAACCTCGTTCTTTCCTTTCTTCTCTTCTAGCTTTCAACAGATTCATAGCTTGTGCTTTTTTATCAACCTTTCCTCGGTTTTCTTCAACAGTCTTTTTCCTCTCTTTGCTACGCTCTTTTGGGTCCATTCTTTCCTCTCTCTTCTTTATTGTTGTGCCACCCTTCTTTTTCTTCATTTCCTGTTTCTTCGCCAAACGTAGTTTCTTTTCTATTTCAAACCTAAAAAGAGTATACAATTTTAGTGCACAGTAGCTAGACAACAGAAAACACAAAAAAATGTAGATGTAGACAGTAAAGTTTTGTTAAATCATAAGTTTTAGTAGAAAAAAATATTTTTTTGACTGTTTTGAACTGTTTATAGCCTACCTCGTTTTCATCACTTCTCTTTGTTCAATGCGCTTGAAGATTTCCTGCTCTCTTTCTTTTTCAGTCATCTGCTCAAGCCTACGTCTATCTTCTTCATCACCCATCAGGTTCTCATCATAACCATCATTGAATTCCTCCTGGCTATCTGACGAATCTGAATCACTCTCGTCCGAGTCAGAAACTTCACCTGGACACAAAAAAAATGTTAAGGGTAAAGAATTCATAGCTAACTTACCGGTGAATGTAATTAAATAGCCTAAACATCAAAGTTACTTAGATTGAACATGTTTGCAATTCATTTTAGAATGGTAAATTATTGTAAAACTATTGGATGATTTGCAAATTTCAAACTAAAGGTGAACTTCATTTTAGTAGCCTTCTTCTTTTTACTAAACAGGTTGGCGGCCTCTTTAACCTTGCATTTGCCCGTCCACATAGGTAGACAAGACAAGGTGACTAAGGCCAACATGTTCCTTAGACACAGCTGTTAATTAATAGCCCATACAGCCAATGGCAACTGATGTACCTAGGCCTACAGTTTTTAGTGAAATCCAAACCACATATTTGCCTTGTAATTAGGTCTAACGAATTGGTCTAATTATCGGGATAGTACCCTACTGAGGATCGTCTTAGTCATTACTAGTGCGGACGTTAATCCACACCAGGGAGTATCGCACCCACATTGCATGCCTATAAATATCCACAATTTTCGTGACCTCCTAGTAGCAGGATTATAAGAACTACCTTGTACCTACCTTGTAATTCTCAAAACACTGTAGGCCTTGTCAATAGGCCTTAGGCCTACAAATACCTGTAACCTATAATAAGGGTAGGCTTATACAAATAACTTAACCAAAGACAAAACTTAAATTTACACATTAAATTTAAAAAAAAAACCACTTTGTAAGCAATTTTAATCAAAGATCATAAAAAGAAAATGCATAAACTTGCATACCAGTAACATAAGCTTATATTGGCAAGAAGAAAGTTACAAATCCTCAGAAAAGGCCTGAGAGGGTAAGAAAATGCAAAGTAGGAGTTGTCAACCTCCTACCAGTATGTGAAGGATCTACTTTAAAAATAAAGTGCAGGCTACCTTCTTCTGGTTCTGAACTTTTGTTGTTTTTCTCAGGTTCTTCCTCATCACTAGACTCTTCATCAGTAGATTTGGATACAGTTCTTTTAGGAGCGGTTTTGGTTTTCTTCTTCTTTTTCGTGGTGTTTTTGTTTCCCTTTGCATCCCAGTCATCATCAGAGCCAGATGAAGTGTCTGAGTCAGAATATGCAGCTGTTGCTTTTTTTGTATTTGATTCTGTGGGCGACTCATCATCACTCTTCTTCAGTTTCTTTTTCTTAGCAAGGGACAAGAGCTCCTGAAATTAATAAGGAAGTAAGTTTTAAACTTAAGCTTACATTATGTCTGGGCTTTCTTTTTAAAATCTAACAGGTGGAATGGTATAGGCTATGTAAAAAAATCTCCTCAATTCGGGATACAGTACTTTTTTGGTTATGTTTTAGGTTTGCTTGACCAGTTTTAGTTTTTCTCATTTAATGGCCACCGTGAAGTGTAACATAAGTTATAACCTACACATTGATCACACTATCAAGCGCTCTAAGATCTAAGTTATTTGATCGTCTTTTAAAAACGTCTTATTGAATTGTATAAACTACCGGTATCTATATGACTAAATTATGGTAGACGACTAATCCCTAAATAACCACTTTAACAATTTAACTTGTAGCCTATACAGTAGCAAGTGAATTAACTTAGGCCCTACCCTCATTTGAAGATCACAAGTTAATACTTAGCTTATTGTGGTTAAGTTATAAATATTTAGGCTAAACCAAACAGTGGCCTAAAGGTTTTGAACACTTTTTAATTGTTACTCAGACTTGTTAGGTACCTAATTTTGGGTTGTTAAGTCAATGGTTAATAGCATTGACTTAGCAATAGCAGAGATTGAATTAGCAGCAGAGACATAATGGATGGCAGACAGAGAGAAGTGGCAACTTGTTGGTGAGGCCAAAAACCTGCTGAGGTTTGAGTTTTGAGTGGCCACATAGGTAAGTAATGGTTTAATATGATTTCAGCTTTAAATTCAATAATCAAACTCTTATTTTTGGATGGGCCTAGTCTACAACTGTTGACCTTGTTTACATTTTTGAGTGTTCATTCTTACTTTAAGTTTTATGAACTCTTCGGTTGGACTAATACTTTACAGTTTAGTATCAAGTACAAAAAGAAATGACACCCTTGAATTTGTGGATTAGGCCCTAGGCTAGGTTATTTTATGAAAAGAAAATATTACCGTCTCCAAATCGCTTCCGCTAGATTCACTGTTGCTGCTCTCTGAATCAAGTAAAACTTGATTTTTACGTTTGACCATGATTTTATCAATTAAACTTATCTGAGAAGAAAGTCTTTTATAAATTCACAATGATGGTGTCAATAATGAATTACACGAGAATGAATTACTAACGATAACCTCCTCAAGCAGAGTTTGCGTTTGACGGAGAGAACAAAACACTCAAAACAGAAACAGAAAGAACTTGGTATTACAGGCTGCCACTACAATTACATTAACATAAAATTTTTACTTACTCAATACTCTATACTATAAGAGTGTGAGCGCATGGTGGAAGGAAAAAACATGGGTGTGCTATTCCCGTCATATTCAGACGTCACTAGGATTGCAAACAAAAGATCACCTGATTGTAACTGTCAAATTAGTATTTGTATTTGTTTTGATTAGTTTGTTATTGTTTTTTATTATTATAAAAACAATAAAAACCAAATAAAATCATGTCATGATAATTTGACATATAATAATAAAAAACAATAACAAACTAATCAAAACAAATACAAATACTAATTTGACAGTTACAATCAGGCGATCTTTTGTTTGCAATCCGAGTGACGTCAGAATATGACGGGAATAGCACACCTATGTTTTTTCCTTCCACCATCACCATGGTGTGAGCGCTTTAAATAAATATACATAAATATATTTGCATAAATATTACATTTCAGAAGTGAGAACGAAATTCCAAGGGTCAAGGGATATTGTAGCTATCCAGAATTTTATAATGTTTTTATATTAAAAAAATACAAGACAAATCCATAACAGGACATAACAGGACGTATACAATTTAAAGATAACATTCGGCAGATATTCAGACCTTCTTTCAAAATTGCACTTCTATGGCATTCACGGTGCTGCCTTGTAACTTTTCGAATCTTACCTAAAGGATAGGAGACAAGTTGTGTATATTAATGGTGTTCAGTCTCAAGAGGTTTACTTGAAATACGGTGTTCCCCAAGGATCTGTTTTGGGTCCTTTGTTATTTTTAATTGGTATTAATGATTTACCTCATAATGTACAATGTAGAACCCTTCTTTATGCTGATGACACGATCAGCATTTGTTAACACTTCCAGTGACTTTCTGCATTTAAGTTATTTGGTAAATAACTTAATAGAAGAAGTTTCATCTTGGTTTAGAGCTAATGACTATCTCTTAATCCTACTAATATTATAAATGAGAAAGTTTAGATGTATGGATGTATGGATGGATGTATGTTTGTGACAAGTGAACGCGAAAATTACTGGTCGGATTGGGCTGAAATTTGGCATGATGATAGCTCACATTTCCGATTAACATATAGGCATATTCTTATTTCAAAAATCCTTTCGGGCTCCGCCCCAGTGGCTCTGGAGTTTCCCATGTTAACCTTATGAGAAATGAAATTATTGAATCTTAGCTGTTTCAATTAAACAAGTTGGTTCTGTTCTGTGATGTTCAATAGCATTAAAGTTACAAAAATTACCAACAGGGTGCAGCACTATTATTTTTTTTACATTTATGACAACAGCTAATTTGCAACCAAAAGGTGAGTGAGCGTAGCGAACGAACTTCAACCTGGAGGCGAGTTAGCGTAGCGAACGAGCTAACCTGAAGGCAAGTGAGCGCAGCGAACGAGCTCCAACCTAAAGGTGAGTGAGCGTAGCGAACGAGCTCCAACCTAAAGGTGAGTGAGCGTAGCGAACGAGCTCCAACCTAAAGGTGAGTGAGCGTAGCGAACAAACTTCAACCAGGACGTGATTGATCCATGCGAACGAGATAATCTTGAAAATTAAGAAGTTAAACGGGGCAAAGCCCGCGGGTTACAGCTAGTTAAAAATAAAATTGAAAAAATAGTATTCTTTTTGAGGCCTTATGACCATAAATCTTTAGCTATAGAAACAGCTGTCAGTACTAAGTATTTAGGTGTATGTGTTGACCAACAGCCTACTTGAAATACTCATATTTGTTGTGTGACTACTACACTTTCTACAGTTGTTTTCTTGTTGGGTCGGAAAAAAGGAAAAAAATTGCATGATGACAACTATGATCAAATTATACAGAGAGAGTCTTAGGTTTACATTTAAGTCGCAATTTGGAAACGACCATTGATCGAATAGGTACAGTCATAGATAAATCATACTTTCTTAGGTACAGTATTTAACAGATTTGATTTACGTAGCTTAATAAGGTTATAACAAATAACATTTGATCTTAAACGATTCATAGGTGAATCTGAATCATCGTATGGATCAATCTCATAAATGGCAAACTTAGGTCCGACGTAGTGAAGTGGTGATGGAAGTAGAAAAGGCGAGAAGTGCGGAGTTTGGGAAACGTTTGTGGCAGTTACATTGATGTATCTACAATACTAACATGTTATGGGAAGGAGGGAGAGAGAGAGAGAGAGAAATTATTTATTTACAAATTATTTTGCAGCATTACATGAACCAAATAAAAATATCACATGGGTCACAATGACCTGTGCGTGATAGAGTCCTTATTTGGCTGCTTAAAATCAAAATAAAAGTTCTTCACACTTCACATAAAAAAAAATAGAACACTAACTTAGTAAAATAAGCATAACAATTAATTTACTATACGATTTAATTATAATTAAAAAAAAAAAAACTGTGAAACCTAACAACCATATGCAAATGTAACTCAATAGTAGGGGAGCTCATTGCTTGCATTACATCCAATACCTGTTTACCAATACACATTAATTTTTTTCCTTCGATTCCCAATTTTACTGAGGCGTGGATTCCGTCAAGTAAGAGTGCTGTAGAAGGTACAAAAGATAGTCCAGTTATCAGTTGGTTAGGTCTAAACGAGATATTCTGGGCTGATAAGCGACTCTGTATTGTCGAGGCCTATCTCCATCAGCCAATTAGCGATAACCCTCTTATATACACTCAGTGACACTCGCAGGTCCCTAATTTCTGGAGGAATATTACCATAGAGACAAGGAAAAAACAACAGAATATAGAAGGGAGGGAAACCGGTCCAAGACGTAGGAAGTAGTGAAGTAAATGGTAAAGGCGAACACTCCGGAGGCTGGGAACCATCTGTGGCAGTTACATATTAATGTATATGCAATCTAAAATGCTCTGGGAAGGGAGGGAAACAGATCCACGACGTAGGAAGTGGTGAAAGAAGTAGTATAGGTTAGCAGTGCAGAGTGTGAGTGTGGGAACATATGTATTTTGAATTATATCTATAAACATTTTTCATTTACTACTTTAATAACCGCGAAACATGATTGGTCCGCTCAACTGGCTTTCACTGCTCTGAAAGCAATCCTAGTTACATTTTGCCCTTGACCTTGACGCATACCTGTCTCACGAGGTATCTCCAGTTTAACCTGACCTCGTTTCAAACCAGAATTACTTAAAGTAGGGAATATCCACCTTCTAGAGATTGATAAATTATATTATTTATATACTCTTATGCATTTTACAATACAAGAAACAAACAAAATATGGACGTAAACAGTTAGACATATTATTATTTTATGGCTAAAATCAACCAACTCATCACAGACACCCGTTACTGTGTTTTAGATTAGGAGTTGCAAATATAAACAGCTGTGGAGCGGGAATAACCAAATCTTTTGAGTTAAAACGAAAAGTCAAACAAACGGATTTATAGGTTATGTTTTTTGTATTGAATGCGATTGTGTTAATGTAATAGTTTTGACTTGATAATGAAGTATTTTCTTGAACTTGAATCAAAGTTTAACATAAGCCTGTTTTAACCACGTTTATCTCAACCCATATAAGAAAATACAATTATATTTAATGTTATTGACTTCCTTCTTACCAATACCAATTTGATAACTAGGCCTAGGCAAAACAAGAGCAGGCCTAGGCCTATCATTACTATTTAGAACTTATATTTTGTTGAACATGATCGGGGACAAAGCATTTGAATTAATCAAAGAACTGGATAGAAGTAGAGGAAGCTTGTTACCTTTTGATGTAAGTATGAACAATGACTTAATTTTAATAACTCTTGTTGGAAGCTTATCTTAATCATATCATATAGGCTCAAGTTACTTCTCAAATTTGGGCCTGTACTAAGTATTCTTTTTGATCAGGAAACAAGCTGTTCTAGTCTACATTTTTCCCTTGCTTTAAAAAAAGTAAACAAGCCTAGGCCTACATGTATGTTTCCTAATCGATTGTTTCCTAGATTATTGATAAACTTGATTTGCATTGATGTGTGTTGCATTGCAACCACGATTCCCCACCACTGTTTGGAGAGGGAGATATCAGTATGGTAGTGTCAGTGTCTCAATTATTTATGTAAAACAGCAAGCAGCCAAATTACAGAAAGACACCTTAATTTTTACAAGATGGCAAATATTGTTTGAATATGAAAGAGCGTCTTAAGATAGGCAAGACTATCATTTCATTTTACTTTGACATTGATCAGTCTTTGTATTTATGAACACCATGGAACTTTATGGATTGAGTACTTCTTAAATAGCCCCAACTCACATCCTAAAAACATTTTAAAACTATTCTATGACATCAATTCAACAACTTTCTTCCCATTGGCGCCAACTTATGAGCGTTATTCGTATGGCCGCTGCAGGCCCGGCGGCTGACTTCCGAGTGCTGCTTGTGTCACCACTACGCAGCGCCACTAGTTATTTAATTATTATTATTTTCCCCCCTTTTTGTTTCTTCTTACTTTTATGATTTTTATAAAAATCTTGCTTCTTGTTTTGCATATTTAGTACTCATTTATTTTTGCGAATAACAAACAAGGTTGTGTTGCCAAGGAAACCAGATATCACCCAAAATCAGCTGCGGTAAGGTAAAACAAACATTTTTTTCTATGTTATTACTTATAAACGTAAACAACTTGTGATTTTTCTATGTAGGGAATCAATTAAACTTTATAACAATAGCCTAGTGTCATTTGGTGACTGGATTAATCTTGGAATTTGTAAACCAAGTTAACTATAAAAATTTGTTTTTAAAAAGTTTTATATTATAATCTTTATAATATTATTTTACACTTTGACTATCAAATTAATCCCTTTTTTTGTAGACAATTTTACTGTGAACAAAATGGCAAAAGAATTATTAATTTATTACTCAAGGTTTTATTTCTATAACTATTAGAGTAAAAGTCTACATATTCGGTAAAATAAATTGCCGACAGAGGGCACTGAAGGCAGCGCATTAATTCCTTCCCCAATGGGTTAAAGGACTTTTTGTTACTGATATGTCGTCCTTCTAGTATAATTTAAATAATAAGCAATATCCCCAATCCAATTCACTAGGGGACACGTTGGATCCAACATGGTTAATCATCAGGAGAAAAGTGTAATTAGCCCGTAAGAATGGGAAATTCATACAAAATCTAGGATTTAGCCTATATCTCCCGAATATTGAAATATTGTTACGAAATAGGGGATATATCACTGAACTACAGATATATAGTCAATACCAACCTAACACCCGATGAGACAAGTGTCCCATAAAGAAATCATCCGCTTCGTAAACTTCCACCAGAGCTCATAATTTACTTTGGGTGGGCCTCTCCTACATTTAGGTTATCTCCTCAGTTGCAACCAGATCCTATCTAGATGAGATTTGTCCCCTTGGTTTACAATGTTGCCTATTGACCAGAGTGACAATGCCACAGACCTCTTGGCCACCTATCAGTCCTAAGGGTCTACCACACCAACAAAAGTGGTAAACCTCAAGCCCAAGTGTAGAAATCCTAAGTTTGCATCCTAGGTTGAGATATGTGACAATAGTTATTTGTGTAACTAGTGCGCAAAGTGGCACATTGCTGCAGTATGAGAGAAATGTTTACACACAAGCTGCAGGTGAGTGTGGAAAGTTTCTTGAGTGCAGAAACAGCACTTTGCGCTTGCGTTACACATTATATTTTCCCTGCAGTTACTAAAATACTATAAAACTGATCGTAGTCATACTAACTTTAATTGTTGCCCACTTATTTTCAAGCACACTTGTATTGCATAGCCACCCGAACTGTGGTTTTAAGAATAATCTAAAGTTACCTACCTAGATTATTCATAGCATATTATAATGTGTATAAAATGTTAAGATAGAACATTCTATCTTTAAGTTTGGTACTGGCACTTTTAAAAGTAGTTATTTTAAATTAGGCCTATTTAATGTAGAGTATTTTTACTACCCATCAAAAATGTTTGAAAATTGAGCAATTGAGTAAACTGCCGTATTTTCTTTTTCCAGGATGATCATGTGAGATTGGTGTTTGAAGAAATGAGACTTCTCTGTGAGCAGATTTCAGAGGCAATGTGAGTATAAAGAAGAAATTAATAATAGGCAACAGAAGTTGAATGTTTAAAACTTTGTATTTTTTGCTGATTAAATAATAGTGCAAAATAATTTTGTATCTGAAATCCAATCACAAGGGGTTTAAAATTTTTTTTCGTGATCATAATAAAGATGATCACCGGAAATGTTCATGATTTTGCAGCTGAAGACAATGATGTCTCCAGGATCACAGTTGTTAATGAATTTGCCACGATCACGGGGAGATTTTTGTGGCGGGAGATGATGTGCTTGCAATGGCAGAAAATGTTGATTTTATTGCTATGGCGGGTGACAATGATGATGTACCTGCGATCAGGGTAGATTGACAATAGTGCCTTAATCACGGATTAGGCCCTATTATTGTGATGTTTCCTTCATTTTCTTTCTATATAGGCTAATTTTTGAACCCCCAATCTTGATGACTGCGGAGGAGAAGAACAGCAGTAAGCAGTAAGTAAGCAGTAGTAAGTAATTTATAAACTGTCTTGAGTAATTATTTAATATTTTTTTAGGAATTCTACAACTGACGCAGATGCTAATGAAATCTTTCCTGAAGTAAAATTAGAAAAGGCTGCTTTGGAGAGGAATCAGCGATGCCTTCTTGCTTACCTGTAAGATGAAATTATTAATATAGCCTAACTGAAACAATCTATAATAGGTACTAAAAAGTAGTAACAAATAAACACATAAAAAGTAATCTAATCTCTGTATTTCTTTATGAATATTGAATGACTACTAAGGCACTAAACTATGAATTTATTATTTTTAAGAATAGGTAGTGATGTAACAAATAAATATTTTAATCGGAAAGCAACATCTAATGTTTATTTCATCAATGGCAAAAAAAAATTATTGTTTAGTAATTTTCTTAACAAAAATTAGTCGAGTGTCTTTTGTCCAATCAATGACAGGTCCAATCTTGCATCATTTAAATAAAAAATCTATCAACCCTATATTCATACAGCTAGCGGCAAAATGATCTGACGGTTTTCTTTGCCGCCCTGTCAAGTGAGTGAGAGGCGGAGGCTGGTGGGAATTGGGGCGTTACAAAGCCTACATGCAGACATATTTAGTAGCCATGGAGCTGTGGACAGCTGAGTACCATGCATTTGTATGGGAAGTGTTTTTTTAAAGTAGCAATTCGTGTAGCTGTTCAGCGGCAGTACCGTAGACATTTCAATGTTTCAATGTGGGTCCAAGGGGAAAAGTCTTAACTCAAAACACCATTCTGCTGTGGGTAGGTTACTTCAGAGCTACTAATATAGCATTGAAAAAAAGTCAACAGGCTGTCCAAGGTCAGCTCAGACAACAGAGAGCGCCGAGAGAGTGAGATAAGCTGTGGATGTTAGTCCTCAGCAGCCTAAACGTAAATAAGCTGCAGCTCTGCACTTGTCTGGCTGCACAGGAGAAGAGTATTACAATACGATCTGCATTTTCATTCATACAAAATGGCAATCGTGCAACTGCAACAGTTGAAGCCCGGTGGTTATGCAAAGCGCATCTCTTTTTCAGAACAATTAGTGATTGATTTTCTTACACGTGACAAAGTTGCCATTATGAATCACACTTTCAATCACACCACATAGTCTTTCTCACTCTCTTTAGTTTTACACCACGTAGTCAGATTTTAGTTTCAATGCTGAACTAGTAGCTCTAAAGTTACCCACCTACAGCAAAATGGTGTTTCGAGTTGGGACTTTTCTTCTTTGACCCACATTGAAACGTGTACTGAACAGCTACACAGGAATTGCCACTTTTAAAAACACTTCTACTACAAAGTCATGGTGCTCAGCTGTCCCACGGCTCCGTGGCTACTAAAAATGACCACACGTTGGCTTTGTAACGCCTCTATTACCACCACCCTCCGCCACTCACTCGCTTGACAGGGCGGCAAAGAAAACCGTCAGATCATTTTGCTGCTCCCTGTATATTCAGGGTGGGACAGGGAAGTATCCTTAATTTTGAAGGTACATTTAAAGACAACCAAAAATGTTAGAACCAAACTTTATATTGGGATTTAAAGGTTACATCCGGGAGTTTATTTTAATATAACTTTTACTTGGTTTTAAACAGCATATCCTGCGAGTGGTGTCCCTAATCTTAAATGCACTGCTGTTTTCTGGTTCTGGAGTTCATCATAACTCTGTAAAGCATTTGTTGTGGAATGTGGCCAACTTCAATGAGAATTGCATCCTTCAAGGCATCTAGGGTCCTCTTGTGAACTACCATAGGCTTAGCATCATTCCAATAGAGCATATTCTGCTTATTTACGGCCCCAGAAAATGGAAGTGTGCCTCACCACTAAACAAAACCCGAGCAACATGAGACAGACCCGCAGTTAAGATTTCACATGCCTGCATTCGTTGTTGCCAGTCCCGTTATGTGAGTTCATGAGCAAACCAACTACCATCTTGTGTAGATGGAGGTGTAGGTCCTCATGGAGAATACGAGGCACAGTATGATTAGACAACGCCAGCGCGGATGCATGCTAACAAGCAGAACGTTGAGGAGACTTGCAAAATTGATCTTCTGACAAGGTCAATGTTTTCAGGAATTTGGACGGTTCTTTGAGCTCCAAATATCCTTCCCAATACACCACCCTTACACAGAAGTACTTCACCCACACTAAAATGTAACAGATTTGCGGCAGGCCATCCGATAACAAGTTCGCAGCGCACTCTAGCTGCACAGCAACAATAGACAGATAAAAAAAAAATAATGTTGAGATTGTAGCTCAACGGATTGAGTTATCAAATAATTAAATAACTTACGTCATCAATCCATAAATTGCTGTGGAGTACGCTTTTCAACCATCAGGTCATCCTCAGCTCCACTGTCACTAGGTTGAATCTGTTTCTATGTTGCTTTGATTTTGTAGCAACAACGTCGATATATCGAATAAATAGGCTAAACACATTTTACATTCATCACACATACACGACACGTACGAAACATTTAAATAACGATAAAACTATGATTATAACACTGTGCGCACGGCTGGACGGGATCAGGTTTGTGGCTACAACAACAAGGTTTGAGTGTAGCCGCAAACCTGAGCCCGTCCAGCCGTGCGCACGGCGTTATAATCATAGTTTTATCGTTATTTAAATGTTTCGTACGTGTCGTGTATGTGTGATGAATGTAAAATGTGTTTAGCCTATTTATTCGCTTATATCGACGTTGTTGCTACAAAATCAAAGCAACATAGAAACAGATTCAACCAAGTGACAGTGAAGCTGAGGATGACCTGATGGTTGAAACGCGTACTCCACAGCAATTTATGGATTGATGATGTAAGTTATTTAATTATAAAAAAAAAATACATCTTGAGTGCAAAAGCACATTGCTCACTCAAACTGGCTTGTCTACCACTGAAAGTGATATTGTAAAAAAAATCCCAAAGCATCAGTGTCTTGATCCTAACCCCATTCCTCCAGCACACCCCCACTACTCACAGTGCAGTCTTAAAAGAAGGGATATGTCCCTGCCCCACCCTGTATTATTGAGTTTTTACTTTCTCCCCCTATACCATAGTATATGGAGAAAGTATTGTTTTCGTCAACATTTTCGAGTTTGAGTTTTGAGTGGATATATTCGTTTTGGGTCCCCCTGGACCCAAAAAAGTGGTTTTCGAAGTGATGTCTGTGTGTCTGGATGAATACAGAGCTAGGGACTACACCTGTGGTCCGATTTCGATGAAATTTGGTATGTAGGTTCTAATCCATGGTATCTCCAGGCGTTTTTTTTCATTTTTTTGAAATATTGATTTTTAATGGGGATTTTCCCATAAAAAACCGGAAAAATCTGATTTTCTCGAAAATGGCCCCAACGATTTTGATACAAATTTAGTATGATGTAGCCCTTTAAATTCTGAACAAAATGGTACAAATCCCATTTCTGTAAAAATTACGGTTCAAAAGTTATGGTAAATTATGTTATTTTTCCATAAAAACCCCATAAAATAACGAAAAATAGGATTTTAGAAAAAAATCCGGTTTTAATTTATCATAGTATATTATGGTCCTTAAAGTTTTGATAGTTTTTTCATAAAAAAAAAATTAATTTTTAATGGGAATTTTCCCATAAAACCCCATAAAATAACGGAAAAATAGGATTTTCACAAAAACGGCCCAAACGATTTTGAGAAAAATTTGGTATGTTGTAGTCCTTTATATTCTGAACAAAATGGTACAAATCCCATTTCTGTAAAAATTACGGTTCAAAAGTTATTGTAAATTATGTTATTTTCCCATAAAATAACGGAAAAATCTGATTTTCACAAAACTGGCCCGAACGATTTTGATAAAAATTTTGTATGTAGTCCTTTAAATTCTGAACAAAATTGTACTAATCCCAATTCCGTATATTTACTCTCACCGCTTACACATGATAAGGGTTGTTGACAAACTTATGGGAGAAAGTATGTGTCAGAATGCTGATACCGTTTATTTACAGTTGGAACCGAATGCAGCTTATCAGACAAATGCGATGGGAGTTCGGAAGTATTCTGCCACCTGACATTAAAGAAAACTTGAGTGAGTCAGAGGTTTGTACAATTTTCCTACTTATCAGATTTTCATACTTTATATTGAGGGATCTTCTCCTCTTATACAGGGTGTCCCGGAACTATCTACCAATATTTTAGGGCATTGCTCCTGGGTAAGAAACATACCTAAATATCATATTTAAATTGTCCGGAAGTCCTTAGTTACTCACACAGCCGCCATTTTGTTTTTTTCAGTTATTAATTTTTTTTGAAAGAATGGTTAAACATAAGAAATGGAAACTTTGCACAAACATTTATGACAACTAGACAAAGCTACCAAAAAAATATGAAGATTTTTCAAATTCATAAAACAAAATGGCGGCCGTTTAAAATTTTTGTAAAATCAATGGTTTTCGAGTTATTTAAGAAACAAAATTTTAAACGGCCGCCATTTTGTTTTATGAATTTGAAAAATCTTCAAAATTTTTTGGTAGCTTTGTCAAGTGTGCCAAGTTTCCATTTCGTATGTTTAACCATTCTTTAGCAAAAAATTAATAACTGAAAAAAACAAAATGGCGGCTGTGTGAGTAACTAAGGACTTCCGGACAATTTAAATATGATATTTAGGTATGTTTCTTACCCGGAAGCAATGCCCTAAAATATTGGTAGAGAGTTCCGGGACACCCTGTATAAGAGAAATTATTTTTTAAATGTCAAATTTTTTTTAGTTTAAATTTTATTTGGAAATACAGTATAAATTTTGGGCCCCCCTGAAGTCTGAGCCCAAAAAGTGGTTTTCAAAGGAGTGTGTCTGTATGTGTACAGAGCTACAGACTACACCTCTGTGGTCCTTTTTAGTAAATAATTACTGTTAATTACTAATTTCATATACTATATATGTCCATTGATTAATCTTTTATATTTCTGCTGTATAATCTATTTATTAAGATTAACTATCACATGTTTTTAATATTGTTAATATGATGAAGCAAATGGTAAATAAAGTTACCATTGAAATGTTGTACTGAAAAACTGACTATTCTTATTTGACTAGAATAATTGACAATATAATATTGGTTGATATTATAAGGCCTTATCTTAGCAATCCTGTTTTATTGATACCAAATTAATTTTGGGCCCGAAGGTCCATCATCAGTCGGAATCTAGTAGACCAAATTTTATCTATATTAGAATCCACCCGTTGGGTTTTGTAGAAAATTTCACAACATTTAAGACAATACAAGTCATAGTCATATAACCTGCAATCCCGATGATTTTGACAGTTGCTCGCAACAGGTTCTCTAACCAAAGTGAGGTTATCTGACACTATAAAAACCATGGTTTTTAACCCTAATTGTTTTTTTTTTCGTATCGACTAAGACTTGTATTGTCATAAATGTTGTGAAATTTTCTACGAAACCCAACAGGTGGATGACTACACAATACTATCTCTAAATAGAAATCAGCTGGTTCTTCCTGACCCCTTCCTCATCCATCATTGATTCTATTAACTCCTTTTTGGGATTATTTAATTTAGTAAACTATGATTATTCTAGACTAAGCGTTTGTGAAGCCGACCCTGGTTCAACCTTCACTACACCAACACATCCTTCTCGGCTACCAAGCCCATCTTGCGCATGTACCAATCACAAGTAGTGAGGTGACCATCTGGGTCTTTGGTCTCGAGGCTATTAGCATTGACTATTGGATACAGAAGCTATTAGGTTGTGTATGGTTTCTGATCACCACCATTTCAGCAAAGTCACTTGCTAAAACTGATAAAACAGTTTTGAGTTGATAAAACAGTTTTCAGATTTTTGTCCACACAATTTATAACATTACTAAATTTCAGATCAGATGGTTCAACAATTACACTAAATCTCTGGCAAAGTACATGAAATCTTTGGGAAACAATTATGGATTGAACCTTACACAGGACATAAAGCCTCCAAAATCACTCTATGTAGAGGTAAGAGAAACTTTTTACAATATAGCAGTGAGCCATACTTAAGTAGTTTATCGAAAATGTTTTAAACTAAAATAATGTGAATTTTCAACATAATCTGTTATATCCCTGTATAAATACAGATTGTATATTTTTTTTGGCAGAGGGTTATCCCTCTTATTTACTTAGCTAAATTGAGTATTTTTACATTGGATAAACATGTAAATCCATCCCCGAAATTCTCATGTGATATCTAGAGCCATATGACAGTTTTATATGGCAACTTCCAACATGTAAATGTGAAGGGAACGCATATTTTAAGGTTCTAGACAGAATCTTATCTGCTTTCAAACTATTTCCGAATTTATTTTCACTATCACATAAACTACAGGCTCCTGGAACTTGGTTGTATGTTTTAAATCCAGATCATTATCATTATGTTGGATTTAGTTTAAGTCCTTTTGTGAACTGCTTGAAACATATTGTAAATTATTGATTGTTGGATGTATCTAAAAGTACATTCTGGCTGACATGTACAAGTTATGTATGTGTCATAGATTATACTAGCGTGAAAACACTTACAATGCACAATTAATTACTGTAAAACCTGTCTTTTCTATAGGCAACAGGGCTTGTAGTCCGGGAAAATAATTAATAAAATAGTTATTTTAACGTTTTGTTATTTATTTTACGAGTTTTTTTCATTTCCATTACTTCCTTAGGTGGTAGCTAGATATCATTAATCGTGTAAGAACTGGTTTACATGGAGATTGAACCGTCCCTTTTATTCTAGGTTAGAAGTTTGATGGACTATGGAAAGCTTGAACTGGAAGACGGAGATGTAATTGTGCTGAAGAAGAACAGTCAACATCTGATCCCGAGGTCGTTGTGTGAGCCTTTGATAAGGCAAGGTGTTCTGGAGCAGATCTCCAGCTGAGGTACCAACTCAGATCCATTTACCTAATCAACTTGTGCTAATGCCTTTCATTACCCTACACTGACTGATACGATGGCTGAAGGCTTGGAGAAATAGAAGGAGCCCTATTCAAATTTAGATCCAGCATAGGTTCACATCATGTGTGCTCACTATTTATTATTCAAACGAGTGTCTGTAAATGTACTGTGATGAAAAGACATCTTTGTATTTTACTATGTTAGTAAATTAAAAGTATGACAGGAACTATCTATTTTTTCAATTTGTGTATAATAAAAAAGTAAAATGTATTATTAGCAATTCTGAATTTTAAGAGAAATAATATTTGTAGTTCAATGTATTTAATTCATTAACAACACTAACCAGTTTCCAGTGATAACTAAAATAGGTACAAAATAACAAAATTGTATTTATTAAATTCAGCCAAAGCCTGCAGACCATACTTGAATGGGAAAAGTAAAAGTTCTGTCCTCACCTAAATCCCAAAAACCGAATCCCTTCTGCTCTATGTTACATCCTCAGCCATCGATTGTAAAAATTTGTGTAACATTTTCAGATTCTATTCTGTAATGATTTTGTGTAGGAAATATTGTACCAATAATATATTTAAAAGAATAAAAGTTTTTACCAAGAATTGTAATACTAAGTGTATTTATTACTCCAATATTTTACTCCAGAATGACATATTAACAACAAAATCTAGCATTAATTTTAGTTTGGAAAATTTTTATAGAAAAATGCCGTTGTATCTATACAACAATTTAAATCCTTTTTGGAGTATCTTCATGTACCAGTTATCTGAAAAAAGTAACACTGTCTTACCACCAAGCATTTAGTAAAACAAATATTTGACTTCCAATAAATACTTTTCCGTTACCTCATCTAATAAAAGGATCAATTGATTAGAAAACAATAGTTTCACAGATTAAATAAACTCTGTAGTCTATATAGGTTGTGCCTACTTTCCGCCCTGGATAAGGTAGGGACTTCCACTGATGCTTAGTGATTACAATTAGCACTTGGTATTGAGTCGAATATTGCGGATGGTAGAGTGGTTGGAGGTTTTGTTGTGGTTCGGCGAGTTGGTAAGACTGACAACTTTTAAAATGAGGGTAAAAGAAATGTTGAACATTTCAAAAATTCAGGTACAATAGAGATATAATATGGTTGAGAAAATCACTGAGTCAAGGTACAAAGGGGGTTTCAATGTAGACAAAGACAAAAAGGGTGATAAAAATTACTCTCAGAAGCAACAGAGTTTTCATGTGTTTATTTCTAAGTACATAACAGTATTCAATATTAACTGTACATCAACAGTTCTTGTAATAAATAGTTTATTACACCTTCCTACATTTTATTAAAATAGCAGGTTTAGAGAGGATATCTACAATTTCTCTTTGGATGGATATGAAATATACAATTTATTTTTACATATACACATTTTGATAAGACATTTGTGGCTACAACAACTCATCGTGCCAACCGAGATATACATAGTACATTCAGTAATAACATAAAAACAAAGATAAAATATTCATACAAAAATAAACAATATGTGCAGTTTTGGTCTTTTTGATTTGCTTATTAATTGATATACAAATGTGTGGAAAATATAAATATGTATCTTTTAATGCTAAAAATATTTAAAAGAATACATTTTAAAATTGAAAGTACACCCAATATCACAAAATTAATTTAAATAACTACAATTAGGCTCAAAATTACATTTTTTGTTTTTAAGTAGACAATTATGTTCTCAAGATTTATTCCAAATTCACTTATTGACTGTGTACTTAATTATTATTCAAATTGTCCATAACGGCCATGTCTAAAATAAACATGCTGTTATACGGTTCCACAACATGATTAAACAAAGTTAAAAAGTTCCCTAAAAATAAGACACAATTTGTTAGGTTGCTAAGAATAATAGATATACATTTAGGTTGCGTTTACACTAAGCCAGTTGGCAGACAGGCTAGTTGCCTCATATAACTTAAAATACACTAGAGGCTTACTGGCCTCGTGTAAACACGGCTTAATAGATAGACCTGATCATGACTGTTAAAAGTAAATGTAGGGATTGTAAGGAACGTTTTAAAGCTGAAAACTTTACTGTCACTTAAGCCTCGTTTTGCATTAAGTTCTATCATTTTATTTAGCGTAACAAAATATTTCAAGCCAGCGAGCACAAGAATATTAGCTTTTACAGCTTACATACGGAAAGTAAATAAAAGAAACTTCCTATAAAAACATATGATTTTGATTGGACACTCCAATCATCATCAGACACAATAGGCGAAATTGATCACCTCTTACCATCTTTTTTTATATTTACCGTCTTGTGAGTAACAGTATAAGCGTAAATATATGTTTTAAGTGTTATAAGACGTTTCTTTTATTTACTTTCCGTAAATTTAATAACACGTACAATGCTGATCAAGAAGTTATTTAGCTTATATATAAACTTTTTTTATACTGTAGCAAAAATAGCTATCAATACATGCATTGAGGGGCTAAGTAGTTTTTTTCTCCCTGGGGTAATAAAATAATCAAGATGAAGTAAGTTATTTTTATGGCTGATTTTGTCTGTTTATTCAGCCAAGAAAATATACCCCTTTTCCAATTTAGAATTTCACTTAAAATGGTTTACAATACCTGCATATAGTAATCCTTTGTTGCTGATTTAGGCAACTAGTTTCGGTTCTTGTTTTGAACCATCTTCAGGCCTCAAGGTGTCAAGTGATCACTTCATTCGAAGGTTGTTAACAGTCTAGACTTTACCTCAGCCCGGTCATGATCGTTTGTCAATGTCCCTTCATGTTTTTTGTAATGTGTGTCCGTTCCGTGTATCGTGTTTTGTATATGTTTTATTTATTGAACTCTGTTAACGACCTTCGAATGAAGTGATCACTTGACACCTTGAGGCCTGAAGATGGTTCAAAACAAGAACCGAAACTAGTTGCCTAAATCAGCAACAAAGGATTACTATATGCAGGTATTGTAAACCATTTTAAGTATAATACAGTAATCCGGAGGCTAAACAACTATTTTTAAAATGTAGAATTTCAGTAAAAAATATTATTAATTGTTTACTATGTAACAGTAACAGCTGTTCTTATAGCAAAAAAGGAGAACTATTTTGGGAGCTATTAGTGAATTTCCCATGTAGGGAATATCAGCAATTTTTCCATATAGGGAATAAGCTATTACCGTAGGTATCATGGTATGACCCGGGAAAATTTTTATTTGATGTCCCCAGAGGCTACACCATCCGATCAAATTTATAGGTTTGATTGGAAAGAGCTTATTGCCTGAGAATTACAGAGACAAAGGACAGGATAAGCAGGCTTATCTTGACAATTTTTAAGGCAAGGTTCAAATTTATATCCGTTAGCAAGATAACTCGTGTAGAAATCATCTGATTTTGATGAAATTTGTAAACCAACATTTATTCAAATGTTCGCAAAACAGCATGATCGGACTATGAGAACAAGGTTTTTGAGGTAATTTAGTATTTAAATGTGATCAGGAGGCTAAAATTCAATATAATGAAGTTATCTAATGTTTTAATCGACTTTCTTCTGTTCTGAAACAACATGTAGTAGTAGCCTATGCTGACTACGGTAGTAGTAGCTTACTATAGACTTTCTATTCTTCTGTTCTTTATGTGATTTATTGTTGTACAGTTTTTATTACTGAACCAAGGTTAATGACTTAACATATCACCATTGTGCAATACTATTATTTGTATTTTGATGATGTAAATGCAAATAGGGAGTCTACTGTACCTCAGTCGTTATACTTCAACTCAGGATGAAAAGAGTCACTTTAGGCTACTACTATTTTATTCCATGCAGCTTTTGAAATATTTGCAAAAATCATTCGTGACATTTGTTTCTATATAAATTAATAATAAAACAGTGATCTTATAAACTAATCCATTGAAAGGAAGTGAGCTGTTAGGTTAGACCAGTGTGAATATCGACATTGACTTTGTTATTGCAAGAAGACTTCCCAACCTCCAGTAAAATCTGCATTCATGTGTGAATTTATTTATTTTTCATTTTTTATGTGTGGTTCATCTTGGTTATGTTTGAGGGTGCTGCACTAAATGTTTCCCTCTTCTTTAAGGGGTCCATTTTTACAATCGTTGTTTTATTCATTAGGCTATACCTAAAATTTACTATAAAAAATCTTTAAAATTGTTCAAACAACAAAGAAACAAGTTGTAAACAATAGTTTGCCTTCCACCTAAACCGGACAAAACTAACCAGAATTTTGTCTTCAGTTCATCTATAAGGACGATAAAATATTGTAATATATTACATTGAGCACCTAGAACTATTGACTATGGATACACAGCAATCACATTGCCACATTTAAGCCAGTTTTAACATAAAAGGTAGTTGAATAGCGCCGCTGACAGTGTACTTGTGTTAAATAGTGTTGTGTTTTACACACCAACTTTTAAGCTAAACTAACAACCATACATCAAAATATAAAAGAAAAAGTAAACATTTCTTAAGATACACACACACAGAGAGAGGCCCAATATTTAACTACACTCAATTGAGCTATATGCGGTTTGTTTTATTAAAAGAAAAAAGTTAACTTTTGTCTGAATAACAACTTTATATAGCTAAATTCAAACGAAAAGTCTATCTACTTGTGTATCCAAAGTCAATGATGTATCTTGACATTTAAAACCGTGTCAATGAAAATATAAGATGTAGGACAAGGATAGTTAACACTTCATTTCTAAATAATTTGAAAGAATACAGGACAGTGGCAAATTAGAAAAGATAAGGCTAAAATACCAATAGTACAACAATACCAGATAATCACTAAAAAATTTGAAAACTTTGATTCGGATACAATTGATACTTTATCATTGGACTAATTACAACAAAGTGATAATATCTGAGTTTTGGAATGCTCCCTCAAAAAAACAAATGTAAAGTTCCTCTAGCATTTATTACACTAATATAAATGAAAAATAAAATAAGTAGGCAGTAATTACTAAACTAAGCCAGAAAATTTGTTGAACTCAAATTAATAAAATAAAATAGTTTAAACTGAGCCAAATTAAGTGAAGAACTTTAAAAAAGTAATCATGTAACTTACTTTTTATTTTTCATCCGTCCGTACTGTTGCAACACACAGTATCCCACTACAGTGGATCAAAACCGTTCCTTTGGAACCAAGAAGATCCGTTTTAGCGCTGATATCCTTATGTCATTTTGCCAATATGTGTTAAGTGTTGGTGGCAACTTCAAACTCATTTAACAATTTCACACTTTAAAACATTAATATAAATCATTGTATAAATCAATCGCCCAATCGGTAAAATATGTGGATACATAATTAATTTCCACTTGTATTTAAAGGGACATATTTGTATATTGTACTATCAAATTTCTTGCTAAAAGCAAAGTATAACCAAAGCCATTTTTAATATTTCAGAGATAAAATCATTATAGACTTCTTATAGTCTTCTTTTAGAGCTGTGCTGTACTTATCAGCTTACTGTCATTATTGGTTAGGCAAATATCCCTGACATTACCATAACTTGAGAATCTGTGAACCTGACAAATCGGCAGCGACAATCAGAAATATGATTAAAAACACTCAATTGATCCCAAACAGTCAAAATGATAATCAAACAATCGTAAATATTCAAACCAGATAACAAATAATCGATGTATATTAAAGCTAAAATAACCATAAACATCTTAAAACTCAACAACTAAAATGATTACATATATTTATACACTGCGGCGGATAAAACAAAATATTAACACTGTAAAAAAATAATTTGTACGGCATATATATATATATACGGGTTCCTGTAGATTTTCTCGAGATAAAAATATACAACTCTTACCTATATGCAAAAATAACACTTTGTATAGCGGATGTGGCGAGGTAAGTTCCTAGAATGATGGTGTTACTCTTGGCCGAACCCTTCAGTCTCCTCGATGGCGTAGTTGAGCTTCTCCACCATCTGGTCGTAGCTCTTGTACGGGGGCAGGTCCAGACGGTTGAAACACGTGTGAGATCGGGGCAGCCACGTCTCCTTGCCTACCTTCTCAATGCAGAACCGCTGCGGCCCGTTACTCCCTGAGTGGACAAAGAGTGAATGGCTTCAATAAAAACGTTGAAACTCAATAAAAATTGGATTTAGGCCATGATATTCAAGCAGTTTGTGATCGATAGGTTTAACAGAAGGAAGGTTTACAACCTAACTGACGTAAATAGAAAATACACAAATAAAATAAAGAATTTTTGGAGCTACTTAGCTCCTTCTTTAGTAGTAGTCTTTCTTCTTGAAGGTTGTTTTGGTTGTGGAAGGAGGAAAAAGAACATGCTGTCTACGACTTAATGGTATTGACCAACAACCATAGACAGCATATTCTTTTTCCTCATACAACCAGAACAACCTAAAAGAACACAGTCCGCAACTGAAGAAGGAGCGTATAGCTAGTAGCTCTTAAATTCTATGAGTTTATGTGTTTATTTGTGCATTTTCAAATGCACTTTCAAAATATCCATTGTGGGAATAATCTCTTAATAATTTTTAATTGTAGTAGAATTTTACAAACTTTACTATGGTCAAAAGCTGTCCAATTTTGGTCCAAGACCCGAAAGTCAACATTTTTGACCCAAAGTAAACAAATCTAGTCTTTAGACACTCAATATTAACCTTTATGCATTTTGTACATTTAAATGGACTCCAGCTGATTTTACCAGTCTCTTTCTGTAAATGACAACTTTCTGTCCATCAAGAATACTGAAACCAACTACTCGCTGTGTAGTGTGGTGGGGTCAGACTTACCCATGAGCTCTGCGAAGCCTCCTACAGGCACTCTACATGTGCCTGTCACAAACTGTAGCAACCTCGCTCTCTTCTCACTGTCTGTCTGTCTCACAAACTGCAACAAACACACCACAATCACCAATAACTGCAAATGTTGATTAATTTTACAATTGAGAGATATAGCATATTCTATCCATATATTTAATTCTGTAAGCGAATCGGTCCCCACGAAATATCTTGAGCCAGGAAAAAGCTTAGCATGGCTGTTGAGTATTCATTTTAAAAACTTAAGGTCCAAGGACAGTTAAAAAAAATATCAGAAGTGTAAAAAATTACCCCTGCTCTGCCCCAAGGGCCGTCAAAGATCCAGTCATTTTCTAATGGAAGTAGCATTGCTACAATGTTTCTATTATATATTTTTAAATATACTAGCTGATGTGAAAAAGCTAAAGCTCAGTCTATGCAAGTGTTCTTTGCGTATTTGTTTGTTTATTGATGATAGTGTTCTGTTTATAGGTTAGAATGGTAATGCAGTGTTGAAATGTATTGTGTTAGGGGAAGACCACGACTACAAAGGAGAGTATTTAGGAATGGTGCACAGCTTAAGGAATGGTAAAGGCCAAATTACATTGGAAGTGAAGGGCAGCAATTGCTGCTGAGGGCTCCTAGTTTCATTTTTAAAGAGGTTCAATTGCATGATACATACACAATAACTTTAAAACAACATTTTATGGCATACATTTTTAAAATGGAGACTCATTAAGAATACAGCTAACACCAAAACTAAGTAATAATCCAGCAAGGATGCGTTTATTGTTTCTTAACAGTCTAATTAGATGCATTCGGGCACAAAAACTGCCTCGTAAGTAATAGTAATATACTAGCATTACAATAGGTGTGAGAAAGGATAGGATAAGCAGGCTTACCTTAAGAAATGTAGGCATCCCAGTGGTCTCGAAATATCCAGTGTTTATTTTGTTTTGTGTTTTCTTCTGTGTTCTGTAGTGAATGAAGTGAGATGCCTACATTTCTTAAGGTAAGCCTGCTTATCCTCTCCTTTCTCACACCTATTCTCAAGCAATAAGCCCTTTCTCTCCAAACCTATACTAGCATTACAGCATTTGTAGCGCTCAGTAATATGGCACATATAATCCCAAACCTGCCAGATTATCAAGCGTCATGGTATTCATCAAAATAATTGCACCACAAGTGATGTGTCAAAACTGTGTTCGTAATTTAGGTGCTTGTTGTATATTAAAAACGTATTTTGTGTTTGAAGTGTTAGCCATATAATAACCAAATATGTAGATTATTTCAGGGTCAAGAGTCTAGTTTCTTTCAGTTTTGATTGAAAAATAAACATCTTATAGTTAGTCCACTGCTAATTTTGTGACCTTGAGGTTGGTGTTATGTTTTTGAGATGAAATTTCTTATTTTGGCTATCATTAGTACCTATGTGGGTATTGAGATGGATCAAAATCAAAGTAACAATCCAAGCTGATTGACCTACTGACCTGCCAGAACCAGAGAACCTGCTTGCTGTTCCGCGTGTAGTGTCTGTAGATGGTGTTGCGCTGCCAGTCGTCCACATCAATCTCCTGCATGCCACACAACATCAGCTCCAGTTCCCGCTCATCAAAGTATTTCAGCCACTCGAGCGGCACCACCTCGTTGAAGCCCTCCAGGAATGCCTGCGTCTGGTCCTTGATGCCCCGAGTCATCCGCCACTCAGTCATTAACCTAAGCGTTCATAGTAGTTAGTAGGGGGCAAGTATTGCAGGGTTTTTTTTTACTAGGTCTAGTGGAAAAGTGTATGGACCTTGGTTTTGGCTGAATGTAGAAGTTGAGCTTTAATTAAGTAAACAAAGTAGCTTCAAGAAACTACATTATACTTCTTTTGCGTTATAATGTTTGGAAGAACCCATTACATTGAATTTAAGCTAGAAGACAATGGCATTATTTACAATAATCTTATGAGTACAAAATAATTTTACCAGCAATGAAAGCAGCAAAACTCTATGATACCTCTAACGTTACTCATAGTGATGGGTTGGTACCTCACGTCAAATGTCAGTTCCGCCGGTTCTTGGCAAAAGAACCGGAACCACAGAAAACATACTACTATAACCCAGAATGCCAACCGCATGGTAAAAAGCATTAAGTGTTTTGAGAGAGCTTTGCCTGTCAATCGCAGGCAGCGCCACCAGCGTTGCTATGCTGAGTGCATGGCAACGCTGGCAGTGCTTTTTCCAGCAGATTGGGGGTTTTAGGGAGCTGTGGAAACCCTTCCTAACGTATACATAGCTATTATTTCTGTGGTCCAACAATCTCACCTCATGTATTCCTCTTTGTTCTCCTCGTCTACTCTGACTTTGTCTCCCCCCTCCTTCAGCTCATGATGTATCACTTGGCCCAGCACCTCAAAGTCGACACTGAAGAACAACTCGAGTCCGCACTCGTCAATGTTGTTGTCCCGGATCCACACCAACGAGTTGTAGAACTCCGGGTCTATCGATTCTATGTCCTTCATCGTCAACTTCTTGTTTAACATTTTCTTGTAAAAAGGCATCGTGAACCCGGAGTAAATAAACCTCCCGTGGTATAACGCCTGAGGAAATAATTGCAATTAATCAACTGAAATTAAAGAAAGATAGCCTATATAATATTTTATCCTTTCTGGGATGCAGAAGTATTAAGGGTATAAAGCCAAATAGTTACTGGATGGTTATTTTACGCTTAAAAAAGTTATGTAAAAATATATTTTTTGTTCCACTCTCACACCTTAGGATGAACGATAGCCTGGAACTGTTTATCACATTCCTTCAGGGTTAAGCCTATGGGGCTGTGGCATTAGCACTTAGAGAATCTATTGGTGTTTAGTGGGTTTTGAACACAGGACCTCAAGGAGCGAAGTCCTTTGAATCTACCACTAGCCCAGCTCACTCCTCTTACGTAAAAATGCTTTTAAAACTATATTCTTATAATCCACAGCTAACACTTGAACTTTTACTGAATTCTTACTCTGCTTACCTAGCTATTTTTCTAATGTGAAAACAGTCATTTGGAAACTGTTTTAGGCTATGGATTTTTTTAAATCAGTAGGCCACAGTAAAATGCCATATTTGAGTGGCAAACTGTCCAGTAAGTTTGATATTTACAGATAAGAGGATAGTAATGATGCTAAATTAAATTTTACAAGTTAAAAACCAGTACATGTCATCAAAAACCTACTCACCATTGCGATAAATCTACCGATGAATTTAAAATACAACAGATGGTCTGGGTTGACGTATGAGGCTGGGTTGATTTGTAAACTATAGTTGTTCTTGTTGGCATATTCAAAAAGGCAATACATGGGATTGAGCACCTCGTGTGAGAGGAGGAAGAACCATTCTCTGCAACAAACCGGCACAATATTGTTAATTCACCAGGAAGAAGTTCTGTTTGTGATTGTGCAATTTTCAATCTGGTGGCATCAACATGACAACTTCAATTTGAAGTTGATTGTTTGTAACATAACCTAGAAAGTGGTGAGTTTAGTAAAGACCAATAATAGGCTATACCAGGCTACAGTGAAATGTGTTTTAATTTTAAATTAAGAAAGAGTTTAAATTGGGATTTTACTTCAAGATAATAGGCCTACTACGTGTTTGTTTGACTTTTTTAGTCGGTCAGAGACGAGTGACTTATATCATTCTTATAAATGTAATGAGTGAAGAGGATAGCCCAAGTACCACTAACCTTCAACAATTTAAGGCAGCACTTCATTCCAAGTGATTATTTTAAAATACCTGAATGCATATTGATGTTTTTAACTTAAGATAACTTAAATGTAGTTATTAAGTAATTTGTTTTATAAATTAATTTCTTTATACAAATTCTATTTCTTTTAATTGAATTGACATTATTTTTAAAAATTATTAAAAGTTATGGTAGTAGACCTAGGTTGATTATAATGTAAGTGAGTAGGAAGAGAAGGTAAATATTAATAAAATAATAATAAGTATAAATAAAACACACAATAACAAGTGATGTGTAAATTGAATGCTGCAGCCAACAAGTAGGCATAGGCTAGACCAAATTTTTCTATTAGGCCTAATAATAGTAATTAGTAACTATATAAATTAGAAAATTTGGTGTACACTTAAATGTAAAAAGCTATTAAAAACTACATATTTAGGGCCCAGGCCTACTTTACGCGCAACTACTCGACTTGAATTGAAAAATCACTACTCGCCCACCCCTAATAAAATATAATTAAAAATAAAAGTCTTAAATACTGGAAGTTGACAGTGTGATTTAAGCAGCTATCATTCCAAAAATTGTACACAGCTTTGTTGGTTAAACTAAATTCCAACGACAAATACTCATATCATAACAGAGAGCCCCTTACTTGCATCATTGACTATTGGATACTGAAGTAGACATCCCATTCATATGGACCAGCTGTCGCCAATTTTTTTATTAAAATAGAACCTAGTTGTAGATAATGACATAGTTGATGGGTCATAACAGTTTCTATAAGTCGTTCCATCAATTTGACTTGGTAAACAAGTTGGTGTATTCGACAGAAACCAGTAATTTACATCAGCACAATCTGTTGGTGGCTCACATCAACTACAACGGTTTTAGTTAAAAAACAGGTGACTACTTTAACATGGGGATGGAATATATAGTTGTATAAGTAGTCAAATCTTGTGCCCAATTGGTTCGCTCTTAGCATGGTTTCAACGGCAATCTGTACATAACTGTAGCAACTTAAACAAACACCCATTTTCTATACAAATACCCATTTGTGTAGTTTTGTTTGATACGTATGTATATTATTGGAACATTCCACTATTCTTCATACTATTACTGTGGTATAGGTACTAATTTTGGAAAAAAAATGTTGCCGATTTCCAGTGAATATCTAGTGGGATTTATTGATCATTTATTGAATATCAAGTGCGGGTCTTATTTACCATCTAATTTACTATCTAAATCTATCTATCTAAATCTTATTTACTAATAGTCAGTAAACCACCAAGACATTACCTCGAGACCCCTCCATAATCCAGTCCCTCCTCCCCTCTAAAGATGATGTAGAGCCGTCGTCTGAGTTCGTACGCAGGCAATCGCATGATCTGGTGGTATGAGTCGTCAAACAGCGTCTGTCTAGTGACTGTGATCTTGATGTGTGACGGAAGTACGTTACTCTGACACAGGTACCTGAACTGACTGAGCTTCCAGCGGAACGATCGTTCGTAAGCCCTTGGCACTCCGTACACGCCCTTTGGGCTGCGACAACACAACATCAATAGAACCACAACTACCTCGTAACTGATCATTTCAAGTTTTCACATTTTTAAAGTTCATAAATGCGAAGGACGATTATTTGTTTAGGTAAAGTGAACTTTTTTTAACGCTAAGTGTTTTGACTGTACTATGTTTTGGGGGAGAATAGAATTCCTTCTGTTTTCAAGTGGCCTTAATATCTACATTTACCTAAACACCCTACGTATCTAACCTAACCTCCTTATTCTTCCACATATGGATTACATTAGCCTATATATAATACTTAACCTAAAAACAATAAGCTATACAAAATCAGTGAAATTAAAACTAAACACTACAACTATACTTACTGGAAAGCCTCCAAGCTAGTCTGACTTTAGTCTTTCGTTCTAGTGACGGTGTCTACAAATAATTGAGATGTGTATTTTCCATATATACAGGGAGGTCTGGACCAAGCGTTAAACTTTTTTTCGGGTGGTAGAGCAACACAAGCGTGACTCAAATCCACAATTCAAAAAAAATTTATACCATACACCTACTTACAGAAACATTATTTTGTTTTTTTAGAAAAACCTGTATACTTACACAACATTTTAAAATTCCTCTAGTATTTTCACACATTTTTATAACTTTGACATTACCATCATATTCTCCTTTAAATTCTATGTAAGAATAGACGGCTTTTGGTGAGCCCAAAGCTTCAGAATTGCTATTTAAATTGTTTAGAACTAAGAAATTTAGATTTTTCCAAAAAAAGGTTAAAAATAAGCCTACAGACACTTTTTTTTAGAAAAATACTTGAGATTAGCAAATGGCTACAATAACTGCTCTAAAATCTTAGGTTTCAAAAGATATGATGAGGCATTTAATTTGCTTCCTTTTAAGTACAGCTATTCCAGTTATAACTGTGGAAAAAATGGTTTAAGGAAAACAGAAACATACTATAACAAACCAAAAAGACACACATGATAGTTTTTATTATTATAGAAACAGCATGAGGCTGCAACAAAATTTGTATCTAGACAAGTTCAAAACAAATTCCAAATATTGGATTGATAACCAAACTAAAATGCAAGTTCATTTTAATTTATCTTCAAAATGTCCTCCATTCTCTCTGATGCAAACTCTAGCTCTCTTCCGCAAAGAAATCTATGGGGTTTAGATTAGTAAATCTTGCGGGCCAGGGCACTGGACCTCCTCGGCCTATCCACTTGGGATAGTTAGCACTTTGCCAATCTCGAATGTCATTCATAAACTACACCTTGTCTTGTGAAAAGAGCTTCATCTAACCACAAAATCGTCAAGATATCATTTATCAACACGACGGAGCACCTTCTCATTTTACGAATGACATTTGAGATTGGCTGAGTGCTAACTATCCCAAGTGGATAGGCCGAGGAAGTCCAGTGCCCTGGCCCGCAAGATCTCCTGATCTGAACCTCATAGATTTCTTTGCGGAAGAGAGCTAGAGTCTGCATCAGAGAGAATGGAGGACATTTTGAAAATAAATTAAAATGAATTTGCATTTTGGTCTGGTTATCAATCCAATACTTGGAATTTGTTTTGAACTTGTCTAGATACAAATTTTGTTGCAGCCTCATGCTGTTTCTATAATAATAAAATCTATCATTTGTGTCTTTTTGGTTTGTTATGGTGTGTTTTTGTTTTCCTTAAACCATGTTTTCCACAGTTATAACTGGAATAGCTGTACTTAAAAGGGAGCAAATCAAATGCCTCATCATATCTTTTAAAACCTAAGATTTTAGAGCAGTTTTTGTAGCCATTTGCTAATCTCTAGTACTTTTCTTAAAAAAGTGTCTGTAGGCTTATTTTTAACCTTTTTTTGGGAAAATCTAAATTTCTTAGTTCTAATCAATTTAAATTGTAATTCTGAAGCTTTTGGCTCACCAAAAGCTGTTTTTTCTTACATAGAATTTAATGGAGAATATGATGGTAGTGTCAAAGTTATAAAAATGTATGAAAATACTAGAGGAATTTTAAAATGTTGTGTAAATGTACCGGTTTTCTAAAAAAATCAAAATAATGTTTCTGCAAGTTGCAACCTGCTAGGTTTACACTAACTACAACACTATGCTGTGAGCTGTTTGTAACTTACCCTTTAGGAGCACCAGGTCTGGGGTCCTGGAAGGTGGTTGTTCTCGTATTGTGGTCCACAAAATACCTGATACCGTCCTCAGTGAGTCGTATCTCCCAGCCAGGCGGCAGCGGAGGCTCATCAGGTGCCACCTCCAACCTGCAGACAAACACTGTGTAAATACAAATGTTAAAACAACCTACGAGATAATTAAATTGTGTTGTCTGCATGACAGTAGTCTCCTTAAAAGGTTCTTTTATTGTTTTTTCATGGTGTTACCAAACGGCTTTTTCAAGTAAATAAATGAACTATTAACACATTTTTTATAAAAATATTCTATATTTTGGCTTAACAGTTCAACAATAACAAAAACAAATAATGTGTTTATCACTCATATCAGAGGGTCTTGGAAAAATCAAAAATATATAATTCATAGGGAAGTAAAAAACTAAATATTGAAAAAGTGAAAAAAATTGTTAAGAAAATTTTGTATATACTATTTCAAATTTAGACCAGATGGTGTTTTAGATTAAAGTATTAACTAGTGAACCTGTTGCTCAAATTCGAGCAATTGCGAAGCATTACATGAGTTATTTTCAAACGAATAACAATCATAATTTCCGATGACTTTATAAAAGTCGACTCAAAGATTATGGAAATACTCACGATGTACACAACAGTTAGATATAATCAAAATTGTTTGTAAATATCTTATCTTTTTTCAAAAGCTGATCTTGTTTTTTAGAGTTTTCTCCAAATGTTTCCCACTCATAGCCGCATTAGGTTCTCTATAATAATGATTATAAATTAAGAAAAAAAAAACATTATTTCTATTTCTTCCACTTGGTTGTGTTCTATGACTTTCTTATGTTTCCATTGTTTACAAATCGGCTCTTTCAATGATTGCTCAAGAAATGTAGCACAGTGTTAATTCAGTTTTATTTTTAGTAGGCCTACATCAAATTGTCCAGGATTACTCACATTTTTCATTGTAATAACTACACCAATCCAAGTATCGTCTACAGATGCAATACGCCAAAGAATATCATCTACGTGCAACACGCCTACATGCAATCTCCAAGAAGTGGCAAAAAAGGCAGAAACTAACTCTGACAATAGACATAAGTTAACTTCATAAGAAATAATTTTAAGAGTTACTGTAATATTAGGATTTTCCACTGATTTGGCAATAGAACATTATATTGCAAAACATGACACGATGCAGAAGAAAATCGATTTTAAAATCAGAAAAAAAACCATTGCAAATACTTCATTTTGACCAATTCAGTAAATCACAATTTAAATATTAACAGCTGTTTCATTAAAAATTCGTGTAAAATTATACATATGGTCATAATGTAAACAAATCTGCTCAGGGGACTTTAAAGGCCTCTGGGGCAGAGCCCCAAGGAAATTTACCTCGTTTCTCTTTTGATGGCTCATCTACAGACCAAGACCTTTCTTCAGAGACCCCTACCAAGTTTCTACGCCCAGCCGTTTTTGAAATTTGCTGTGACAAAAACCCGATTTTCCCCCACAAGAATAACATGGGATGGGAATTTAAAGGCCACTGGGGCAGAGCCCCAAGGGAATTTACCACGTTTCTCTTTTGATGGCTCATCTACAGACCAAGCCCTTTCTTTAGACACCTCTACCGAGTTTCTATGCCCAGCCGTTCTCTCAAATTAGCTGTCACAAAGAAAAACAGTTTCAAATTAATATATAGATTGATGAGCTTGCTCAATATGTCTTCATTTTTTGTCTTAGGCATCTTTGGCTAATTCTTTTAACACTATACATCTAGCTTTTCATAATCAATCCCAAAACTCGTCACATGACTGGTAAGTTTCTGTCACACTCGATACCAAAATACTCTCGATACCAGCGGTATCGAGGTATAGTCGATACTTACCTGTTTTGGGTTCGATACCGATACTGACACTGAACCACTGAACGGTACGAATCGGTGCGGATTAAGTCAGTTCAGAGCGGGTAAATTGCTGTTACGAATCCTAGCTGTTAGAGTGCCTACTTATTAGAGACAACCTCATTGGCTAGTTTTCAACTCCAGGGATGATATTTGGTTTGGTTGATCACCACTGCGGCATATTGCTGCGCACTATTGGCCTTGCAATTTGATAGACACAACCTCATTGGCTAGTTTGCCACTTAGAGACGATGTTCGGCCAATCACGTGTCATGTTATAGCGACGTGGATACTAGGTTTGGTTGATCACCACTGCAAGCGCTAGTGTCCTTGGCATTTTATAATAGACACAATCTCATTGGCTCACCTACTGCCCTGCGACGACAATCAACCAATCACAAGCTATGTTTTAGCGACATTGAAACTTGTATTGTTGTTGAACGCCGCACCGAGTGCTAGTGTATTTACTAACTTATTAGAACCTTTCTCATTGGCTGGTTTTGGATCGGAGGAAGACGATAAACCAATTACGGTTAGCATTTTAGAGATGCAGTAGTCCCGTTATGCACGATCGAGGTGTTGCAGTTACAGTGTATGTCGTACGATCCATCCGTATGTTGACTGTTGAGGTTATGTTATTGTTATTTCACATTGGAATTGAATTTCTTTTGATTTTAGTTAATGAATGATATAGTTTTTTATTTAATATGAGTAGGTTTAAGCGTAAATGTTATATGTGGGCCTTTTTTAATATTATTAGTGAAAGTAGTGGATGTGGCAAAATGTAATCTGTGCAAAAAGATATTTCTCGTGGGGGTAAGTCTTGTGTGACTTCTAACCTCATTAAACATCTGAAACTTCACCATTATGTGAATTTTTCAGAGGAAATTGAACAAATCAACAGTCGTGGAAGAAAATATAGGCCTAGACCACGATATTCAATTCAATTCAAAACTACTTTATTCATCTCTTGTACAAAATACATTGAATAGTGTCAACAGTTCAGCTGCAAGTAGGCCTAATATTTATTAAATACATTTCTAACACAAGAAAATAAAACAAAATTTCACAAACTTACATTTTTTTTATAAATTGTAAAAAAAAATACATATCCTAAATTAGTTTTTGACCTCAAAGACTATTCAACTCTTCAAAAGAAAAAATAGCCTTGCTGATGAGAAATCTTTTTAATTTATTTTTAAATATTGTTTTGGAGTTCTCTGATTTAATTTCGATTGGGGGATTATTATAAAATTTTGATCCCGCATATATGGATTTTTTCTCAAAAAGTTTTAGACTATGGTGGCCAATTGCAAGGTTTTCCCGATTTCTGGTTAAATAATTATGACTATCCCCAACTCGTTCCAAATCATGAAGTCTGTCCTTTACTGATAAAATTGTTTCAAAAACGTACATTCCGTAAATTGTCATTATATTTTCTGATTTAAAATGTTCTTTATTAACAGAAAATTCAAAATCTAAATTGCAGATGATTCTAATAGCTTTCATCTGCTTTTTTAGAATAGAATTTAAATTGTTATCACTAGTTGCATCTGCACCATAAAGTGAAATCCCAAAAGATATACTTGAGTGGATATATGAAAAATACATAACTTTTAGAGTTTGTTTTTCACATAAGGGTTTCAATCTAGATAAAGCATATAATCCTGATGTGATTTTGGCAAGTAACTTTTCAACGTGACTGTTCCATTTCAAATTTTTATCCATTTCCAATCCCAAGAATTGAATGTTGTCCTTACTTAAAATCTCTGTGTTCTCGAGTTTGATGATTGGCTTATTTTGATCCCCTAATTCTCGAGTTTGAAAACTGATATAGTGATGACGATCCATAAATGTGTATAGGCCTACATATACAAAAATGTGTATGTATGAACAAAGATATTCTGGTTATTTACTGTTGACAATAAATATGTTCATATTAAAATTATTGTTTTATTTTATTCCAGCTGTTATTTTGATAGGTATCGGAAGTATCGGTATCATTGAGAGGACTTTGGTTGTATCGGTATCGACAATTTTTGGTATCGGCCCATCTCTAATTAATACTCAATATCTGCAACTTTACTACTATTTCTATTAAATGTTACCCCAAGACCTAAAGCAACTATGCCTCAGGAATCTTGCCTTATTTCCTATTCCTAACTTGTGATACAAAATTCAAACTTTGGTGAAATTTTATTTGTGTGACACATCAAACAGACTAAAGCTTAGAATAAAATAAAAACTCCAGCAGCTACCTGTTTGCATCCTACAATCTACCAGACAGGTGACTTACCCTTGTGTCCTGGGGTCCTCCCACTGAGTAGTTCTGTTCTTGTGGTTGACAAAGTACACTCTGCCGTCAGGATGTACTCTCTTCTGCCTGTCCTTGGGCAACGGTCCCAGAGCATCCTACAATCTACCAAACAGGTGACTTACCATTGTGTCCTGGGATCCTCCCACTGGGTGGTTATGTTCTTGTGGTTGACAAAGTACACTCTGCCGTCAGGTTGTACTCTCTTCTCCCAGTCCTTGGGCAACGGTCCCAGAGCATCCTACAATCTACCAGACAGGTGACTTACCCTTGTGTCCTGGGGTCCTCCCACTGAGTGGTTCTGTTCTTGTGGTTGACAAAGTACACTCTGCCGTCAGGTTGTACTCTCTTCTCCCAGTCCTTGGGCAACGGTCCCAGAGCATCCTACAATCTACCAGACAGGTGACTTACCCTTGTGTCCTGGGGTCCTCCCACTGAGTGGTTCTGTTATTGTGGTTGACAAAGTACACTCTGCCGTCAGGTTGTACTCTCTTCTCCCAGTCCTTGGGCAACGGTCCCAGAGCATCCTACAATCTACCAGACAGGTGACTTACCCTTGTGTCCTGGGGTCCTCCCACTGAGTGGTTCTGTTATTGTGGTTGACAAAGTACACTCTGCCGTCAGGTTGTACTCTCTTCTCCCAGTCCTTGGGCAACGGTCCCAGAGCAACCTACAATCTACCAGACAGGTGACTTACCCTTGTGTCCTGGGGTCCTCCCACTGAGTGGTTCTGTTCTTGTGGTTGACAAAGTACACTCTGCCGTCAGGTTGTACTCTCTTCTCCCAGTCTTTGGGCAACGGTCCCAGAGCATCCTACAATCTACCAGACAGGTGACTTACCCTTGTGTCCTGGGGTCCTCCCACTGAGTGGTTCTGTTCTTGTGGTTGACAAAGTACACTCTGCCGTCAGGTTGTACTCTCTTCTCCCAGTCCTTGGGCAACGGTCCCAGAGCATCCTCCTCCTCCACCTTGGCGGCCGCACCAGAGTTGACAGCTGGGCTCGGCTGCTGCTGACAAAACAAACAAACATGTATAACGCAACTGATTTTGATCGGTAAAAGTTAGTCTTGATTTAAAATTTGAAAAAGTCGGAGTAGCTCGTTTTAAACCCTAGTAAAATTTGTAAACGTTGATAACCTATTGTGAAAATCAGTCTTTACTAAAATTTGACTTTATATTTTACTTAGTATCTTAATATAACGAACCTACACTAATGAAAAATAATCAGTTTTTAAAAATTGAAATAGGGATACTGTATTTTGTTTCAAAAATAAAACAATGAAGTAGTGTAATTTAAAATAAGGTACCTATGGTACCGGAACCGAGAATCGATTTTGGTTAGGAACCGGTACCAACATTGAAAAAGTGGTACCGACCAATCACTAGTTTTTAATTCAGTTGGTTCAAGCTTTGTTACTGTTTAGGAAAGGAAAACTAAAAAGGCTGATTCAACATGTACTTAAAAGACAAAGCTAAGCCTTTTATAATGTTTATGTAGCTTGTGTATTGCCTATTGTACCTGAGGGTAGAGGAACCTCTGATTGCCTTGCTGTACCACATGTGCCCGTTCTCCCTGCCATTGCTGGTAATGCTGTAGCCTCTCAGTGTTGGGCCGCTGCCATGTTGTTGTGCGAGTGTTGTGGTCCACATAGTATATCCTACCTGTAGAAACACAACACTTTAGTTAGAAGAGGTCGTTATTTTTTATCACAATAGGATAAATAATACTATTACTGAGATGTGACCTTTGTAAAAGATTTCTAAGAATACCATATCATTTTGTAACATAGTCTGGGCTGTTTGAACGAGCAAGAGAAATAACACGGATCGCAGCGTGATTCCTATTAACAAAGAGCATAACAAAATAATATAGGCATTGTAGGCCTACTATGGTAATATATTTTTTTTTAAGAGGTCGGCGGCCTCTTTAAACTTTGAATTTGCCCGTCTACATAGAATAACCGCCCGTGCGAGGATTGTATACAGCAAAGCAAGGAGTGAGCCAGTACAGTACAAAGGTGATCTGTACTGATAAAAATGTTTTCGGAAGTGACCAGGATCCAAACCCACGACACTGCTGCCTTGGGCCTGGAGTCTGCGACGCTACCGACTGAGCCACCGACTCACTTTACTAGATCACTAGGAATGCCATACTTTTTTGTGTCTTCAGTGTTAGCAATGGTCTATCAGGTACCATACGCTAACTAATATTTTCCCTTTGTTATAATAATAGATGTCCTGGCCTAGAGTCTTTCCTTAAAAAATATCTTTTGCAAAAAGCTAGATTCATAAAAATGAAACCAATAAATCTTTTTTAGTTCATCTAGTTCCCAAGAAAAAATGTTCTCTATTAAACTAGTTGTGCACCTTTTCTTGAGGTTAATTTTTTCCACATTCTTTCTACTTCCTATCTCTAAGAGCGAGCGGGTTTAGTAGTAAAGCACAGGGCTTCAGTCCCAGAGTCTCCATGTTCAAACATTTTTACCACCAAGACTGATGTACAAATAATATGATAAAATAAAATACCCCCGCCGCAGCAAACCTGCTGACTAAGCGAATTTCCAGTTCCCTGAATTGATTTTCAATTAAATGTATTTAATTAACGTTAGGTTTTCTGAGTACATAGGCTTGCTGCTACAGGGAGAGTAAAAAGTGTATTTTTTATTAAAAATATTAATAACTTAGTATAAAATAAATAAATTTACCAAGTTTGATCCATATATCCATAAACAAGCAAACTACAACATTTTACAATATTTGACAATATTTCCCATAAGAATAACATGGGAATTTTAAAATAAAATTTTCTTTAAAATTTCCCCGTAACCAATAATTGTACAAAAATACTTTGAATTACTAAATTATTATTATTATTTTTTAAGCTCTTTGAAAAGGTCTGGAGAGAAATTTAGAGGGTCAAAAATTAGAAAAACCAATTTTTACCCCATAAACCCCCCCCCCCCCGTAAAACCCCGTTCCCATGGTCTGATCATGCTGGTGAACGCAAACTCGTTCAAGTTTATCCCGCCTTACACCTTAAAACCAAATTTCATCAAAATTTGAAAAAAATCTTAAGTTAGGACACATATATATATTAAAAAATCTATATATACAAATTTGAACGAATGTTGTTTTTGGCCTCTGGGACATCACAATGAAAAAGTAAAGCGGTCCCGGGCCTAGGTCTTACCATACCACCTATGGTAATAGCTACTTCCCTATAGGGAAATTCGCTAAAAGGTAATAAAAAAGATGCGTAGCCTATCATATTATTCTCCATGTTCAAAATCAGCCAATTATCAATGAATTTTAGCCATGTGATGATGCCACGACTCTCTAGCGACAAGCTTCAAGCAACATGTAAAACAGTTTCAGGCTAAAAGACATCCTACCTCTAGAGTCTCTCCGTATCTCCCAGCCGGGGGGCAGCGGCTGGGGTCTCTCCCATGAGGTACTTCTACTGTTGTGGTCAACGTAGTAGCGTCGTCCGTACACATCATATCTCATCTCCCACCTGACAACAGTTACGTAAACTTGCAAACACTCAAACTTCTACAGTTTCCTTGTAAATAAATCACTTAACACTATCTGCTAGTCCTTTCTATGCATTGAAAAAATTGTCAAACATCTAGGCCTACTAAATAATTTTGTGTTTTGAAATCGAAAAGTAAAGACTATTACTTCTGATAACCAAAAATCACAAAGAAAAAATTTATTCTGCCAACACTTGAATGAAATTTAGTAATTATTTTGACTATAGCATAAAAATAAAAATATTAGTTTAAATGTCAATAAATTGTATTGTTTTGAACTTTTTTGATGAGTGGATTTTGCATATCATAATCGAGACAATAATTATATTATAGTATGTAGATAAAATTTTTTCAACTGTTGCAACACATGGTTGAACATGAAATAATTGTTTAAAAGCATTTCTATCTATTTTTGAACTTTTGAGAAAATCGTAAGCCGCATACCTATCGACCCCATACTCAAATGAAAGGTCTTGATGTGAAACTACCCCACAAAATATCAGTTTTTCGATAAACCCTCTCCTAAAGGCAAGATTGTCAATAAATGTCATGCATTTTAAATCATATTTTAAATATTCGAGATACATCAGCTGTTATATTTGTTTTTGTTTTAGTTAGTTTGTTTACTTTTTCATGAGCTAACCTTTTAATTTTTACCATACATTTCTATAGGGTGAGGCAATGAGAACGCCACAATTTGTTTTAGCTGTCACATGTTAATTGTTGCAACAACGAATGATCAGCTGTGCTTATAATGTCAATTAAACTATGCCATTTTTAACCGACTTCCCCACTACCAACAAAAGGAGGAGGTTCTCAATTTGTTTGTGGCGATGTTTTTTTTTTTCTATGTATGTTCACCAATTTCTCTGTGATTCTTTTACCGATCAGTGTGGTTCCACCACCAGAATAACCAGGAGAGTTTCTATTTGGTACCTTATATATTATGTTTAAGTATAATATTTGTTTCAGTGAAAAATTCTGAAAACCTTAAATATTCAACATTTATTTTGTTTACATTTGTGCAGATTGTTTACATTTGTGCAGAGAAGGCAATAAATAATAATAACATTCCTACAGCTGTTAGTTGAAACCATTTAAATGAAGCTACAGACAATTCTTCATGAAACAGTTGCTTCATATTGATCAATAAACTATTTCTTGCCATGGAGCCTTAATGAATTACATTGAGAAAAATGCATTTTGTTTTGGTTACTATAAAAAATGTATTTTAACTTTTGACCTGATTTGTGTATATTCTGTGTTTAGTATTGAATATTCTGACTTACAAAAACATATATGTTTCAGTGAATAGCTGTATGATATTGACAAATAAAGGTGTATTGTGAAAACCGAAGCATTCATAAAACAGGTCTAAATATAAATCAAATGCAATTATTCCTTACACGACCTAAGAAGTGTGACAGTGCATAATCATCAATTGTCTTAAAAGTTTAAAATATTTTAATTACTAAACATGCATTTGCAGATGTGGAATGTTTATTGATATTCTCTACCCAGTTACTATATCATATAAATACTATTATGCCTGCTTCGGAAAGTCCTAGAGAAAGATGATTTGCAATTTCGACTAGGCTATATCTTGATCAAACAAAACCACCTACATGGCTTGCACCACTTTTAGCTGAACCAATCTTTCATATATATATTTCATTTGCAGATGTGGAATGTTTATTAATATTCTCTACCCAGTTACTATAACATATCAATACTATTATGCCTGCTTCGGAAAGTCCTAGAGGAAGATGATTTGCAATGTCGACTAGGCTATATCTTGAGCAAACAAAAACCCCCTACATGACTTACACCACTTTTAGCTGAACCAATCTTTCATATAATATTTTCCAAAGGTACTATACGAAAGGTACTATGGTGTTAACGACCAATTTTCCACTTTTGAGAGATTTTTTAGTGCTGGTAGCTGAGGAATAACTTTCATATTGTTCCAAAAGGCATGAGACGTTACTGTATTTATTTTTATAATGTAGAAGTACACCGATTGCAGGAAACGATGATGTCTGACATTTAAATTTATCTAGAAAAGACAATTAGTTTTTCATTAGGCCTAATGTAATGGACAACTCTTTCTTTCTTAAGGAATATCTAAAGATGTTTATTTCCATACCCATTGATTATGTAACCTGAACAGGTGACTCAAGCAGTTTTAAAATAATGATTGTTCGGTGGAACTTTTGATTGTTTCAAACAGTTTTGCTTATCAAAAATCCTCAAGTAATTAATATATAAAAAATTATACAGTCACTAAAAATCATGAAATAATTTATTTTTGTAAAAAAATACAACCGACTTCAAACGCTCTAAAAAGAATGAAATAATTTCAATAAAGTAAACTTTTGTATTAGGCAAGCTCACGTATTTCAAGTCGGCGCGGCTCAAACTGCAAATATGATTGAAATTAAATATTGTGTGTGAAAATCAATAAATTTTAGCTGGATAACATAAATATATAAAAAACATACTGAACTGTTTTGTTTATATATTAAAGGAAATATTTTCTTGTATTTTATGTTTACTCCAGAATAAATGCATTATGAACACACACAAATGTTCTATATGAATAGGAAAATAATTTAGTTTGATATTATGATAGGGAAAAGAAGCTAGTTTAGTATTAAAACGTTACTTTTCCAAGTTAGAAACATTTAAATGCGTTATAATCTTTTTAAAGATACTCGTTAATACCACTATAATGCCGATCTCTGATTACGGTAATAAAATAACACTTAACGCATAACTATGAAAAAGACATGCAGATTAACACCTTTAGTTATAGATAGTCACCTGCAATGTGGACACCCTCTTTCAATTTTGTATCAAAAATCATCATAGAGCCGCGCCGACTTAAAATACGTGAGCTTGCCTAATACAAAAGTTTACTTTATTGAAATTATTTCATTCTTTTTAGAGCGTTTGAAGTCGGTTGTATTTTTTTACAAAAATAAACTACAGTAAATATTATGCCTGAGGCTATTAAGACTGAGATTTTGATGTGGAAACCTATTTTAAAAATAGTGATTTTTGTGCAAAACCCAGAGATTGTTTGGACCACATTCCATCCTTGGTCAACATGGCGCTGTTCCAGATTGGAAAACAATGGTGAAATGGGTAAAATTATTTAGGATAAACGCTTAAAGAGAAGTGGCAGTACGTTTTTCTGATACTATGAGATAAGTGTTCAAACCCTTAACACGTTTGCAACCGCAATAGTACAAAATTTTTCATTCATATAGACCAGCATGTAATCGAGGGTAGCCTAGGCAAGGTTAGGTCGATGACCTGTGGTCAGGCCTTGCTTGCTATGAAGCGTGCTGGAGGTTTGTTTTGTAAACACCGAGGGCTTTGCACTCCGTAGCTATTGGGTTGAATAAATAGGCCACCTGAGGTAGAGAAAGGGGTCAGTCGCCCAGGGCAGGGTGACCAGAAGAGTTGGGTGAGTATTGGTTGCTCTATCTTAGGGTTAGGCTCTTTAGTCACGAGTCTTTGTAAGGGGAAACTTTGTTTTACTGGGATTATAAGTTAATTAGGATTTGTGTTTTTTTAATAAGGGAAATTCTTTTGGGTCAGAAATTTTGTTTGATTAAATTACGAGGAAGTAGATTCCTCTATAGGGATTTTCTAGCTGCCTCCAGGACGTTTCCTAGCAGCCATTCATTAGTGGGGTTGTTGTCAATAATGGTTTTATTGTTGTATAGGATAGTTGATTGATTTAAGATAATAAAAGGTTCAGTACTTTGAATTAAATATGGTCCTCTCATTTAACAGCCACCCAGCTCATAACTAGAGTTATATAAAGTTAAAGATCTGGTTTTCACTAAAGCTACGCTCCCATGTGTATATGCAGGATAACCTGTGAAGAGTGAGGGGGTTTTCTGCATATCACAAGCGATGCACATATGCGACAGCCCGTTTCTACCCATAGACTGTCGTTGCATATATGCAATATTACAAAAGGTTATCAAAAATATAAAAAAACAAGAATATATTATTTACAAACACAATTGCAGCGTATTACAAAGTAAATTATCACTGTTTTAACAGGTTTTCTCCCGTGGTCTGCGTGTACTGTTAACAAAGTGACAGCCGATCTATGTGAGATTATATTGAATACCTCGGTCCGTGGCAATGATCGCGACGTCGCATATATGCGACGCTCGGTAGCGAACGTGTTAAATTCTGTTTCAATTGTTTACTTATTAGTTAGTATTATATATTTAAAAACACAGCAATTAGAATTTATTGATTTTGAAAGCAAATGTTGTGTATATAATAATTAAGTGACACAAGAACTAGAGAAATTGGAAGGAGCTTTATGTGCCCGACTGGGAAAAAAAAACATTTACCTTGTAACATGGACATTGATAAAATTAATTTACATCAAGAACAAGCGCTTAATAATCCAGCAGTTTGCATTGGATGAGGCGGTAAAGAATGCGTTCTCTCCCCGTGGTGAGGCACGGGCAGAACAACCAGTTTGATTAAAGATTTTTAAACTGAACACAAACATGCACATGCACAACCAAAAACAAATGTTAAAATGTTGGAAAAAACACTTTCACCATAATAGGAGAAAGTAAGAAAGTGTGGCCCGCAGACCACTGATGTAGGTACTCACCCAGCAGGTAGTGGCTCCTCCTGAGCATTAGTCTCCCCGTTGGCGGGGGCAGCCTCAGTGGTGGAGCTAGGCGGGGGCGGGGGACCAGCACCATTCTGTATTGAAGGCACAACAGACTGGGGAGCTGCATTGGACATCACACTCCTCACTGTAACAGTTGGCCCATTACACATTTGTCCCAATTTTTTTTTATTTTTTTTTAATAAAAAATAAGTAAGGTAAAGGTTTTAATAAAGAATCTATATATATAATACGCTAAGCCGATTTTTGTAAACAGAACTCCTTCCACATTTTTGAACCGATTTTAATTCTTAAGGCGTCAAAAAATGGCCCTGATCTGTAGTTTTGCAAAGTGTTTTTCATTTTTTGAAATCTTTATTAGTTTGGGCAGGATCTTCCATCAAAGTTGAGTTTTCTCCCACAAGATTAACAATCGTCAGCGATCGTGGCAAAATCATGAATATTTTCTGCGGCCGTGTGGACGTCATCGTCGTCTCCCATGGTCACGGAAGCGTCATCATAGTCTTCCGATTGGGGCAAATACGGGTTTTACAATTGCAATCTTCTACCGGGGCTAAAATAAAAACCCGGCTTTTTCCCGGTTTTGAAATGAAATATACTAAATGAAATATTACATGTCACAAAAAATTTCACAAATCCAGCGTTAGCTGGTGAAACAGGTGATATTGTCAGAGATCTTAAACACTACAAAATAAGGGTCCGCGGAATTGGCTAACTCTGGAACTCGCTAACCCCATGTTAAACGCCCTATCTTCAAATTTGGTCGATGAGAGGAACTCGCTAACTTGTTCGGTTTCGGAATTGGCTAACTCCGGAAACCGCTAACCCGCTCTAGAGCCGGGTTAGCGAATTCCGTCCTCGTACGGAAGTCGCTAACTCGGTCCCTCGGCGGAACTCGCTAACTCCCAATCAGAAGCCTCGCGGGCCGTCCAATGGGAGCCAAGCACGAATATTTTTGGCCAGTGTTGCCGAAAGTGTAGTACCTATATCGTATCGGTACCATAATGTCGTATCCTACGATTAATTAGGAGTAAGAGCAACGTAGACGATAAAATCAATATATTTATAAGTATGTTTAACATTGTTCTTATGATTATTAGGGTGGAAAATGCATTATAGTCTTACCATAGACTAACCAACACAAGTAAACTTTACATCCCATTGTAAACTTTGAAGCTCGTTTTTCGTGTCTAGTTCATGTCCGGTGACACTGATCGCTAGTGTCAACAAAATTGTGTTTCTTTTATTTTATAGTTAACTTCATGATTTGTTCTTTACTGTTTGGTTATATAACTAGGGGACGTGTTATTAGTTGTGATTAGAACGTTTTATTTGGTTAAACGAGGTTTTAAATTACTGAAAACAAGAAACAATTGTAAACAAAACACGACCTCTAAAGACAGTGCACCGGACAGAACTAACAATAAAACTGTCTTCAGCTGATCCATAAGGATGAAAAATGTACTAATATAAGGGAGTATGTTTTATACGTGGGTTTCTTACTTAAATTGTAGCATAGATAAAAATGCACATTTAATGTGGATCTATTACATGTTATGAAATGTCTATTTTCGTAGTCCGCCATTTGTTTCTATTATTCAAATAAATACTATTTTGTGAACTTCTGCAAATAAAATTATTGAGTTCGTATTTTATATACTGGGCTTGTAACCTTGAATCATAAATCATAATACAATTTACACGCTAAACGTCATAACAGAATTACATTGTAGTGGTAATGTATTTTTAAATAGAGCTATTGAATTTAAATAAAATGTATAGATACATTATAAAGTGGTAATGTATTCATGGATTGCATTAAAAATTAGTCCATGCATAAATACAACTTGTAAATTTCTTTTATCGTAGGCTATTAGTGTAGAACCCGGGTCATCCTCTTAATTGTTTTGAATTAATATTAATTTTACGTCTTTCAGTAGGCCTATACTTTTTTAAAGTCTGGAGTTTTTCTCCAGGCTGGTTCTAAATGGACCCAGGCGTTCTTGTTTGTTACAATTCTTATGAATGGTGGCTATAGTTAAAATATTTGATCTTATCCAAAACAAAGCTATTGTCTATTGTGAAGCTCAGTACCGGGGAACGGTGAACCGAGCAATGGCTTGGTATACTGTAGTTTATATCGATTGTGAAAGCAATATAAAGGAAACCCAACACTCAAATCGAGAAAATCCGGCAATTCGTTTATTAAGAATCGTGAATTAAAATAACCCTGTCACGTTTTATTATATGAATATTATATCTTCTCCTATTTTTTACTAGTGGTGCTTAGGTGTACAATCTAAAAACGGGGTTGAAACATGTAACATTATTGCTAAAAAAATTCAACACATTTTAGAATTAGGCAACTATTTACTAGTAGGCAAACAATGCTTTGGTTCAAACTATTAGGCCTGGATAAAAACTTAGTCTATGTCATCATATTTGTACACGTAAGTTGGACGGTTCAACGACGAACATTTAATTTAAAATCTATAAATTAGTTATGAAAGTTACGATGGTTGATGACTGTATTAATTAATGGTTTTGGTTTATTACGCCATTACGATTAAATCTGTTTTCCGTGTTTGAGAACTTGTGTGTATTTTAGCTTGATTTCGTAGAGGTTTAATTATTGAGTACCAATTAAACTGAATTTTCAATATTTTTCATATTCTATTATTTTCTTGATGGCATTTATATTTAAGATCGAAATCATAAACATTTAACTGGTCATTGTACAGTTAAATAAAGAAAAACACTTTTTCTTGATTTTTTATTGTATTTGAATTACTTTGGGCTAGTTATCTGTTAAAAGTGGAATTGATAACAAAAAACAATAACATTTACTGTATCTTCATTGACACTGACATTTTGAAATACGGCAGTGTACGATTATTTGGTCGTACAAGGTTGGCAACGCTCCGTGCAGTGGGCGCGGCCGGGTTAGCGACTTCCAGAGTTAGCGAATTCTGCCGGGAGACAAAATCGAGTTAGCGGGTTCCGGAGTTAGCCAATTCCTGACTGAGACGGTTAGCCAGTTCCAGAGTTAGCCAGTTCCGACACACGACCGAGTTAGCGAGTTCCTGAGTTAGCCAATTCCTACGTCTCCAAAATAAAACTAAAATCTACATAGCTTAAGCTAAAATACATTTACTTATCATTCCAATAATCAGAAATCAAATAATAATTTTTCTGTAAAAGGTATTGTTTGAAATCATTTTTAAATTTTGAAATACTGTTAATTTCTTTGAAATTAGTGGGTAGACTGTTGTAAAGCCTTAATCCGATATAATAAGGAGATTTTTCATATAAACATAGGCAATGTCTTGGATATTGAAAATATTTTGAGCGTGTAGGATACGGATGACTGATTTGTTTATCAGGTACAGTAGAACCTCGCTAATCTGACCTCTGATGGCCATTCTACCACAATTTAAAATGGGGATGCCATAAGGGGGTATATCGGGTCCAGACTTGTTTATTGCAACACTATAACAACGCAGTTGGTCAACTCACCAGAGGGTACAGGCCGTGTAGGAAGCTCTGGCAGTACCACCGAGCCCTGGGTAGCCGAGGGCTGGGTGTTCTCCGTTCCAGGGGGGCGACTGCGAGCTCTCACACCTCCGTTTAGCACACTGCGGTTGGTCGTGTCAGTGTTGGTGGGGGCTACAATACAGTAGACATACAACATATAAGTTACAATTGGAATGAAAAATAGACAGGACAGGGATCAAATCTCAGAATGTTTAGGGATTTTAGTTTGTATATGGAAAAAGTCAAAACCCTTGGCTTTACCAATGCTGGAATTTAACTAGATAGGCCTAACATTACAATAATGCTTTGATTATCCTATCTGTGTTATACTAACCTCTGAAATTGTGAGGTATTAGTTTTAGTGTTCTGCATTGAACACAGTTCATAAACTCCTCAATCCTGCATACGTCTCTGTTAAGTCTAAGTTATTATTAGTTGTCGCTTTTTTCTACAGAGTGTCCACCAGGCCAACCAGAAAAAATTCATGAGTAATTACAGGTAGTTCTGGTCGTACTTTTCATACTTAACATTCCAACGCACTTTTGCGCCAACTCCCACAATGTTGTTTTAGCCAAACACAGTTCGCTATTTTAGTTATCGGAAATAATGAGAGAAACAACATTCTTAGAGTTAAAGAAACAAAATTTACGATTACTTTATTTCCTGACACAAGTATGCAATTTTTATACAGGGTGAGTTTGAAATGAGATCCCCCCCTAATTTTGTCTACATTTCTTAAGATATCAACTCCGGACTACGTCAGATAATTGTAGAGTAGTAAGTAGTTCATTTTGACTGGGTTTAAATTTTTAACGGCCTACTTGGATCCGCCATATTGGATACAAAGTTATTTTTTCAAATGTGAAGATAGGGTTGTGACCCACCGTTTCAAACTAAATTTTTACGCTGAATATGATGCTGCAATCCGTTTTTTAAAAATATTGATCCATTCTAAAATTATGAGAACTTTTTATAACTTTATTTTTAGCGATGGGCTAAAAATATTTAAAGTTAACATTAACATTACATTGTGCATTTACAAACTAAGGCCATAATCTCAAAATAGTGCTACATAAAGATAAGTGGACACCACCATTCATTGTGGACCTATTTTTACTTGGTTATGACGGATGTATTTTTGTCAGCCGCCATATTGGATCCGCCATTTTGTAATGTGATAAATTATTTTAAATATGAAGGTGGTTTTGTGACCCATCATTTGGTACTACTTTTTTATGCTGAACTCAATGCCGCAATCCGTTTTTCATTGTCATATTTGGTTTTTAAAATATTGACATTTTAAATAAAATGATTGTAATATTTTATCAAGAAAGCTTGATAACAAAAAACGGATTACGGCATTAAGTTCAGCATAAAAAAGTAGTTCTAAATGATGGGTCACAACACCACCTTCATTTTTAGCGAATTTCCCATATGGGGAATAAGCTATTACCGTAGTACTCATGGTAAGACCTGGACCCGGGACCGATTTATTTCTTCATTTTGAGGTGCCTAGAGGCCAAAAACACCATCCGTTCAAATTCATATATATGTGTGTCAGTTAGTACGATAACTCGAGCAAAAATGATCCAATTTTGATGAAATTTGGTACAAACGTGTAAACCTACATTTATTCGAACGACTTCGCGAACCAGCATGATTGGACTATGGGATCGGGGGTTTATGGGGGGTTTTATGGGGTAAAAATAGGTTTTTTCCGTTTTTGGCCCTAAAAACACAAAATTTTACAATTTCTTTTCACACCATTTTGTAGAGCATAAAAAACAAATAATTTAGTATATTGATGCGTTATTGTGCGCCTAATGGTTTTGGAGAAAATTAAAAAAAAACTGTAAATTTAAAATCCCCATGTTATTCTTATGGAGAATAAGTCAACTGTTGTAGTTTGCTTGTTTATGAACATATTTTGATTGAATTTGGAAAATACATTAATTTCTTACTAAACTATTAACATTAAAAAACCACCTTTTTACCCTCCCTGTGGCAGCAAACCTAAGTACTCGTTAAACTAATTCTATTTAAATAGGGAATAAATATGATATTTTTAAGGAGGCGTTTTAGTGTGAATCCTATCAGGCTAATGGAAATTCGCTTAGTCTGCAGGTTTGCTGAAGCGGGGGTATTAAAATAATTTATCACATTTCAAAATGGTGGATCCAAGATGGCGGCTGAAAATAAATACATCCGTTCACCACGTGAAAATAGGTCAACAATGAATGGTGGTGTCCACTTATCTTTATCTAGTACTATTTTGAGATTATGGCCTTAGTTTGTAAATGAACAATGTTATAATGGGCTAAAAATAAAGTTATAAAAAGTTCTCATAACTTTTGAATAGATCAATATTTTTAAAAAACGGATTGCAGCATCGTATTCAGCATAAAAATTTAGTTTGAAACGGTGGGTCACAACCCTACCTTTACATTTGAAAAAATAACTTTGTATCCAATATGGCGGATCCAAGATGGAAGCCAAAAATTTAAACCCAGTCAAAATGAAGTACTTACTACTCTACAATGATCTGACTTGGTTCGGAGTTGATATCTTAAGAAATGTAGGAAAAAGTAGGGGGGATCTCATTTCAAACTCACCCTGTATATTACTGATTTTACAAAATTTTCTGTAAGGATTACTACACAAACCCCTGTCTTTATGTACTTTCATATAGTATGCAATTTTGGAGTTATGGGTTGTTTTTCAAGTGGCCTACATAAATCATTAATGCAGGTAGGCCTATTACAAAAATTTCACATAGCCGATTTCACATAGTAAGCGATAACTGCAAAATCCTGAATATCTCCCTCACTAACGGAAACATCACCACTGTCTTCCGTGATTGTGACAAAATCCTGGTATCTTTCCGGGGGAACAGAAACATTATAATCGTCTCCCGCAATCCCAGAAAAGTTATCATCATCTTCCGCGAGTCGTAGCTTAGTTCTAATAATTTCCCGCAGTCATCATTGTCAAGCAATAGTTTTTGGACATCATCATCGTTTCCCGCGGTCACGAAAACGTCATGAAAACGTTGTTGGCGTGCGATCGCAGCAAACTCACAGCAAAATTCCACCCCTGTTTGGAGTTTTCACATCATCATCGTCTCCCGCGGTCACAGAAACGTCGTCGTCGTCATGCGCAATTGCTGCAAAATCACTAACAAATCCCACGGCTGTTTGGACATTATCACTGTCTCCCGCGGTCACGGAAATGTCACCTTCATATGCGATCATGGCAAATTGAAATTTCCGGTAAAAGACAAAATTCAAGCATAATTCCCGGTTTTCCAGGTCGGTGGACACCCTGTTCTAAATCATTACTCGACAACAGAGCCAAAATAAATTGTACATCTCCAACAATTGTGAAAAAAATTTTAACAATTAGCCACGGTAAATTCATAAATGTCTCCTGCAATCACAGTGAAATCGTAAACATGTTCTAACGGTTGGGTCCCACAGTCGTGAATACCCCATTGACTGCCGCGATCTTGGCAAAATCAATTCCTCGCCATTGCCGTTGAATCTCGAATTTCTTACATGATAGTGAGCGTTCGCGCACTACAAAATTGACGACTTCATCAGTGCTTTTTAGATTAGAACTTTCTAACTTATAATTTTACAATTTATATTGTAAGGCAAATAAAGTTTGGTACCGTACATACCTAACGGTGTGATGTGGCGGGGGGGAGGGGGTGGACATGATGTCATGTCTATTTTTAGACCGTCCAGCAGAACTATCAGGTCACCCACCTTAACCGGGGTCTGATCATTCTTGGCCTCGGACATCAAATCCAGAGTCACCTAAGCAAAATAAACACAGGAGGTTTAATGAAAGTCATAACATTTGCTTGTCAGGTGACTGCATTGACTAGGAAAAAAGTAGTAACCTATGTAACTATGTAACCTGTAATAAAGCAAGCTAATGTTATTATAGTGTTATACAGGGTCCAGTAGGTATAAATAGCGGCCATTTTGTTCTTCATGTTTATAATGTTTAAAATCCTAAAGATACTATAAGTGATCAAATAAGTAGCAAAACGTTGTCGCTTGCAAGACAAAGGGACATATACCTACGTAAATACATATAGGCTACATAATTTCATAGTACATGTAGGCCTAGTTCACCTCTTCATCTAGCAAGTGTCCATTTCGATTATATAAATTTAGGTGTCTTGAGGATCTGGAATGTCGTACATAAAACAAAATGGTTGCCATTTTGAATTTTACATTGAAATTTCATGACTAGTTTATTTATTTATTACAGTTACTGATTTTTACAATTAATGTACCCTTTGCATGGGATTTGGATTTTAAAGAGCTTCAAATATAATACTGTGTAAAATTTTGATTGAGTTGCTTGTTTTATGTAACTGAAAAATGAAAACTTTAAAGGCCGTTATTGTAAAATTTTTAATTGAGCCAAGTTGGATTTGTTTTCCACAATAGGCATTTTTTACCTTAATACACGTGCCAATTTTCATAAAGATTAAAGAAGAACTTTTTTAGTAAAAAATTCAAAACTGTGAGTATCTGGTAAACAAAGCATTTTTTGAAAAGTTTAAATATTGATTTTTCCTTTATTTCCACCCATAAACCTAGTGTCTGGAGTTAGGCTTTTTACTTACCTGAAAACCTACGTTCAAACTTTCATTGTGCATTTATTAGCCCTGGGCATTCATTTCCCTAGCTGTAACAAAGCTGAACACTATCCCTTTTCAAATATACTTGTTCGAGTCAGTCACTTGGCTTGCCCTTAAAATGTACCTAACAATACCTTAGTGACAAAACTAACCTCAAGATGTTCACAGCGGCCGTTGTAGTGTGCCAGCACATCGTACAAGCTGAGTCGCTTCTCCCCTACTATCGCATCCCTACGGAACGTGCTGTGATCCAACAGTCGGAAGTGGAGAAAGGAGTAAGGTGTGACCAGCCTGTTAACAATCACATACACTTTAACATCACTGTTAGACATTACACATTACTGTATGGCAACATGTTTCATCCCCTTGATTGTGTGGTCAACTTTGATTGTGTAGCTTTGGACAACTTGCTCAGCTTACACAATTCCTCTTTTACCAATAATACCCCCACCGCAGCAAACCTGCCGTCTTAGCGAATTTCCATTTGGCTGAATTGATTTTCAATTGATCTATTCAAATAACATTAGGTTTAACGAGTACCTAGGTTTGCTGCTACAAGGTAACTAATAAAGTGTGTGTTTTAAGTAAAATAATTATTGCTTAGTATAAAATGAATATATTTGCCAAGTTTGATCAAAAGATATCCATAAACAAGCAAACTACAACATTTTACAATATTCTTCATAAGAATAACATTGAAATTTTAAATTGACCATTTTTTTAGTTTTCTCCGTAACCAATAACCGTACAAAAACACTTTGATATACTGAATTGTTTGTTTTTTTAAGCTCTTTAAGAAGGTTTAGAGGAAAATTGGGAAATTTTGTGTTTTGAGGGTCAAAAGTGAGAAAAACCAATTTTTACCCCATAAAACCCCCCCTAAAACCCTGTTCCCATGGTCGGATCATGCTGGATCGCGAACTCATTCAAGTTTATCCCGCCTTACACCTTTAAACCAAATTTCATCAAAATCGGATAAAAATTACTCAAGTTATCGTGTTCACGGACACATATATATATATATACATATATAAAAATTTGAACGAATGGTGTTTTTGGCCTCTGGGGACATCAAAATGAAAAAGTAAATCGGTCCCGGGCCTAAGTGTTACCATGAGACCTACGGTAATAGCTACTTCCCTATAGGGAAATTCGCTAAAAAGAATAATTTTCCACACAATCACTAAAATTTTTTACCAACCAGTGAAAACACAAAATAAGGCATTCACATAAATAAAAACAAAAACAGTTAGTGTTTGTAACGTGTTTACCATTTTAAAATCTAGAATGTTGAAAACCAGTTTGTACAGTTTAAGAAAAACAATGAATTTGACCCAATTAAAATTTATTAATAAATTTACAACATTCAGTATAGTAGGCCTTATCACCCAGTCTTTTATATAGGTAGGCTAAATGTTTGTTGCACTGAATATGAAAGTAGGGCGAGTATGGAAAGTAAAGCATTCTGTTTCTGGTAATAAGTACTTGAGGTACCATAGCATCTAACTCTGTTGAAAGAAAAAGTGCTAGCTCTGCTGTTTTTTTGTCTGACATGTGAGTTCTCCAGGATTAAAACCTCACTTTAGGCTAGCAAAAAGATTTTGTATAAGTTTATAAGATAGATCAATTCATTAAGCAAAATAATATAACTTACACAGTGAACTCTTCATTCCACTTGGGCTGGTAAGTGCACTTGACGACTTCAGTCTTGCGTGGTGGTTTCTCGTCCACTGACAGCTCCACATATGGATTGGGCTTTAGGAAACTTCCACCATTGCGAAGATGAGCACACTCAACTGAAATACACAAAATCTTAAATAACATATTAAAATTATAGTAGAATTTATTGAATTTAAATAATCTAAATTGCTTAGAGCAAGAATTTTAAAACTTAAATCTACTGCAGTAAGAATTGTTATTAAAGAAGGCACAATCTGTGATCACGGCAATATCCTTAAAGAGTCAGTATTTATCAGTGGGTAGGTACCCATTTATGTTTTAGTAACATAATTCCAATAAATTTATCGCCGTAGTGTAGACATTGTCTCCAGCGGTAAAGAAAACATCATAATCGTCTCGAAATCTTATAGATGAAGACATCATCATCGTGTCCTCCGGTCACAGAACAGAAATATCATCATCTTCCCTAATCTTGGCAAAACCTCAAAGCATTCTACAGTCTTGTAGACATCATCATTCCCACCAGCGGTTTAATCATTATTGTCCTCCGCAATCGTGAAATTTTCTAACTCCAAATCTTCACAGATAAGTTCTGTGATGACAAAAAGCTCGACTCAAACCAGTTTCCATAAAATGCCCTGAATTTAGGTTTAAATTCAGTAAAGTAAATCTAAACTTGAATTAAGTTATTGTTTTTAACATACAATAGCCTAATTGTTAGGCCTATTTAATAATTAGACCTACATTTAGAATAAAAATAGCTTATTTTAGAAGCAATATATATAAAACAAAATTAAAATTGATATACTGTAGGCTATATCGATATTTGATCTGATAACCTAATGTATCGCAGGTTCTCTGCGGAACTGTATCCTCAGCTTCAATCCATCCAAAAGTCAATGGTAATGACTAAAGTTAGTTCCAAGGTAATATTTTTTCACTGCCTTGTTTTCAAAGTCAACTACCTACAATTTTCTTACGTATCAAAAACTTACTTGTGACACTAAGCTGATAGAAGCCAGAGTTATTTGTAGCTGCTTCAGCCATGTTGCTTAAAGTTCTGCGAGTAAAACGTACATCAAGCTAGAAGTATTTTACCTCTGCATTACACGTGCCCTAAAATCAATGCCAAAAAAAATCAACAATTATTTTAAATAACCTATCAGTCCTTTTAAGGACAAAATGTAAATAGGGTAGGCTATGTGATTATAAAAATATAATATGCCAGACATGACCACGTAACTTATCTTTTAAATCATTATAATAACCTGAAGTAGGAAGCACACAAATGAGTTAGCTTATATGTTATACAGGATGGTAAGTATAATAAGTTACATCTTAGTGTAAAAGCCTAAAGGTCTATTAGAAATATACAAACTTATATCTCAAGTAAGCCTAATAAACAAATAGGAAACTTCTATTGAACAAGTCATGCTGAAACATCATGTTTTATGGGTAATTTAACTTAACTTATAAGGTACGGTTGGTAGGCCTAACTTATTTTTAAAGGTTACCTAAGTTAAAATTATAGTGACAGCATTCCATTCATTGAACTTTGTGCATTGTAAGATGTTACAGTATACTTAACTTAAGTGTGTTAAGGCCTACAGAATTTGATCATCAGTCTGTTCTCTGTGGCTCTCATTAAATATAATGAAATTGAAACCAACTAATTAGGTACGGTACACCAATAAACTGGTTTGGGGGGGGGAGATAGAAATTTGGGGGTCAAGATGTAATCAATTTGGGTGCAAGTATTTTAGATATTGTAAAACTTATTTTATTGTGTTTCACCCACTAGCCTATATTTTAATTGTGCAAAAACAGTCTGAAGGTAGCATAAATTAATGAGTTGGTTCTTTATAACCTAAAGTTTACCCTCCTAATCTAACCTAACTTCAAAACACTTAATACAGTCATGAATCAGCATAAAACCCAACCTACCTTCCCAACGTCTAAATAAGAGCTGATTATTTCGTTTCAGAACAAATTGATTCGTTTTACAGCCACTTAGAAATCTCTCCAACAAAATGGATTGCATTTTTTTATTAATTATTATTATTTTATTTATTATTAGGCCTATTTTATTATTATTATTATATAAGTTATTATTATAAATTATTATTTTATTATTAGACTTATTGTATTAATACGTTGCTGCTGTTGCTGTTGATTATTTGTAGTATTTGTATAACATCTTGCCTGATTTTTATTGTTATTTCTTTGTAAGTTTAATGTATAAATGTAATGGGTTTCCCGTTGGAATAAATAAATACATTTTTGGATTCAGCATGAAAAAAACTGTAAGTAGGCATACCTATCAAAATTAAATCTTTTCCCAAAGTACTAGAAGTACTTATCAATGGTAAAAGCAAGTCTATGTAAAGTTATATTCAGGGGATGTAAAATAGTACGGAATGATTGCCAAGATGGCTTGACATGTTAAGACAGAAAACATTAGGACTAACTTAACACCAATTCAACTCAAACAATGATTCAGCTTAATGCATTTGTTATTGACTAAACAGTATTTACTTACTTACTTACTTACTCCTTCTTCATCTTTTACCCAAAATAGGGATAGATTGCGTCTCGTCAAAAATAAATAAAACATTTCTTATGCACGCACAAAAGAAAAAAAAAAAATTTTCACAACGTGTACAACAGTTCAATGTATAAAACAATATATATACATATATACAAGTTAAAAAAAGAAAAAGCCATGGTTTATTTATGTACGTAAATAAGTTTAGGCCTACAAACAAACAATGAAATTACACTTAGGTAACTTAAACCTTACACAGAAACAGAACAAAAACATCAATCATAAGGTGCATTAAGCTAATTAAGCCCAGCCTAATCTACTGCTTAAAATTCATAGTGATATTCTTTCCTTAGGCCTATATTACAGTAGTTCGAATTATTAAGGCTACAAGAGTCCATCAATTTGGTTTATTGGCTTGTTTCTAACCTGTCTAGAAGTACGATAAACTTATACATTAGATTAGCCTGGTAAGAGTTTTACCAAGGCCACTGCCTTAACACTTAAGCACTACACTTAAGTTAGGCCTAATTTAAGTTAGCCTAAGTAAATGATTTACGAGTTTTAAACATAGGCCTATTGTGAAAATTTTGTTAGCGTACAACTTACATGCATCAGTTAGCTTTATTTTTAGGATTTACATTTGGTATTGTACAAACTAATATACAGTTACAGTTGCAACATAGGTCATGTCATAACAAGACTAGCCTAACTTAAATCCAAAGTAAAAAAATAGGCTAAACTTAATTTCATCATTTAATCATAGGTCAGTTTGTTTTTTAACTTCCAATTTACATCAAAGATATTTCGTTTTTCACTCAAATTTAATTCCATTGAGGCTAAAGAGTTTATCACATGATTAAATTGTCATTGCCCCCTCATAACTAGCCTTAACACTAAAAGCATTTTTTATTGTATCATGAAATAGGCCTAGATTATTGATTTTGACGGACTACACACTTAATTACATAAGGACTAAAGGGACAGGTTAAACATTTCCATAGAAAAGTAAATTTAGTAAAGTTAATAAATATTTACGTAATTTGGATTGAAAGAAGCTCAGAGAGCTAGAACGCCCATTATATCCCAAATTAATTTCATTAGCGGTGCTTAAAAAGTAAGGATCACCTACCTCGTAAGAGGACTCTTGGTTAAATAGTGTTCTGAATAGCACCAACACAAAAATTTACAGTGACATTTCCAAAAAATGACAAATAACACTCCCAATATTCAACAAAATATTCGCCATATTGTCAAAAGAAGTATGTCTGTTCGTGCTGCTGTGACGTTAACTGACGTCACGATCATAGCCCCTACATTATTAAACGTCGGTGATGATATGCCCACGCCACAGGCAGATAAAAGAAAAGAAGATAAATTAGTCCATACGTAAGAAAATATGATTGTTTGATTGTAAACCCTGAACAATTTACTATTAATTTAACATTGCAACGGGAAGAGTTTAATTTATAACTAAACGAAGGTAAATAAATGTATAGCACATGTAAATTTATTATATGAAAAATTTGTATCCCACCACCTCGCAGGTGGTTGGTATGGTGGCTCCTCATTAATGTCATTATTTGCTTTAAACATGAAAAACATGCATTGCAATCGTCAATGTTATAGTCACATATCATACAAAGCAAGTCATGCAACAATACAGATTTGAGTACAAAACCATGCGTTCTACCATAGATTAAACATTGTTATCTGCTCTACTCTAAAGTTCTAGTATGTTTTATCTATGGTCTACTCACAATAAACATACCTATTTTAATCGAAATCCTCAAGGCAGACTAGACATCTTAGACGAATAAAAAAAAACATTTTTAACTTTTACCTTACAGTTCTTTTATTGACTTTTGGTAATTTATGGAAAATATTTTTTTTTATCACAATTTTATTTACAATCTGTTCATTTTTAGAACATTTAGCAAATACAATAACAAATTTTAATAAAACGTTAGTTAATCTCTGTCCATTGACAGAGCTAACTTAAAAATATTTCAATGAAAACATAAATATGTAAATAAACAAGGGAAAATTAAATTGTTCAAACAAAACGTGTGCTTAGATCCAAAACATGAATCCTTTTTAGCCTGTATATACTGGTGCTGTTGTCCAAGAGGTTTAGAGCCAGGTGATTAGGGTGATTTTCAAGTTTCTTTAGATATTTTGCACTAAATTTTGTTATTTCCTCTTCAACCGTAGGAATTCCACTGTCCTTGTGAAGGATATTGTTATTAACATACCACGGGGCTTGCAGAATGAACCTTAAAACTTTTGACTGAAATCGTTGGATAATGTTTATGTTCGACATACTGGACGTTCCCCACAGTTGGATTCCATAAGTCCAAATTGGCTTCAGTATTACTTTGTATAGTAATAATTTATTTGCAATGGTCAATTTTGATTTACTATTTAGGAGCCAGGAAAGATTTTTAAATTTTAAATTTAGGTACATTATTTTATTCCAGATATGGGTTTTCCAGGTTAATCTTTTGTCAATCGTCATGCCGAGATATTTCACATCGTGGGATTGCGGAATTTGGACATTATTTAAGGTTACAGGAGGACAAGTACCTAATCTGGTAGTGAAGGTCACATGAGTAGATTTGCTCTCATTCACTTTTATTTTCCATGTTTGCAACCATTCTTCTAAGTCATCTAGGGAATTTTGAAGATTAAGTGAAGCAACCACTGGATCAGGATGGGACGCTAAAATAGCTGTATCGTCAGCAAAAGTGGCCACAGAAGTATTCACATTTTCAGGTAGATCGGCTGTAAACAGAGTATATAGTACAGGTCCGAGAACACTTCCTTGGGGAACGCCAGCTTGAATTGGGTACAATTTTGTAATGCTATCTCCAAATTTAACTCTGAAATATCTGTCGGTTAGGTATGATTTAATTGTCATATAAAATGTATGAGGAAGATTCAGTTTGAGTCTATAAAGTAGGCCTGTGTGCCAAACTTTGTCAAAGGCTTGACTTACATCGATAAAGACAGCTGTACAATAGTTCTTTTTCTCAAGGTCTTCTTTAATTGTATTAACCAATCTATGTACTTGTTCAACTGTGGAATGCTCCCGTCGAAACCCAAACTGATGATTTGGAATCAAGCTTCTGTCCTCTACTTCTTCAAGTAGACGATTCAAGAAGAGCCTCTCAAACAATTTGGATGTTATTGGAAGTAGACTGATAGGTCGATATGAACTTATGGAAAATATAGCTCCCTTGACATAAGGGCTGTTTTCTGTTCTCTGGAAATTTCTCTACACTCTGAAAAAATCATTACCCTGTCAAGTGTCATGGTCATGTATTTGTCCTACAATAAACCAAATTAACAGAACAACTGCTAAATTTAACTAAATAGTGTTAATAACTAATAGAAGGAAAATGTTTCCTTCCGCCATGTATACATAGCGTACAAAGTCATACTAATACTATGTGAAATCAAAATAACTTGACTTGGAGTATTCGGGCTAATTTTTGCAATTAAACGTAGCTCTCTTCTGTAACACAAACATTCTTTTGGAATATGAACGAAAATAACCTCCCCATAAAAGACAAGTCCATAAGCTAAATATGGATGTACCACTCCGAAATAAACAGCCCTTAAAATTTCACTGTCCAAGTAGTCTGACAGCCTTCTTAAAAGAGAAATTCCACTCTTCCAGAAATTTTCACCTTAGCAGCAACATGATCAATGTGTTTGCCCCATGTAAAATGCTTGTCAAAAAATATACCAAGAAATTTACAAAAATCGACCATCCAGAGTCATATTTTTCTTCAAATGCAATGCAAGAGCTGGAACATTGTGAGCAATTGAGAAATTAACAAGATCAGTATTGCTTAAGTTTACCTTTAAATCTCATAGGGGTGGCACCCATGGTGGAAGGAACATACATAGGTTTGGGTTAGATGTGCTGCTATTGCCGTCATATGCTGACGTCACCCAGATTACAAACAAAAAATCGCCTGATTGTATTACCATATTTACTTACTAATATTATAAATGTGAACTTTGTTTGTTTGTTTGAAGTTCAATTACGCATTAACCACTGAATGGATTGGGCTGAAATTTGGCATGATGATAGCTCAAATTCCCGGTTAACATATAGGCATATTCTTATCTCAAAAATCCTTTCGGGCTCCACCCCAGTGGCTCTGTAGTTCCCGATGTTAACCTTATGAGTATTAGCGAATTTCCCATATAGGGAATAAGCTATTACCGTAGTACTCATGGTAAGACCTGGACGCGGGAACGATTTTTTTTCTTCGTTTTGAGGTCCCTAGAGGCCAAAAACACCATCCGTTCAAATTCATATATATATATATATTTATATATATATATATGTGTCCGTCAGCACGATAACTCGAGCAAAAATGATCCGATTTTGACGAAATTTGGTATAAACGTGTAAACGTACGTTTATTCGAACGAGTTCGCGATCAAGCATGATCGGACCATGGGAACGGGGGTTTACGGAGGGTTTTATGGGGTAAAAAAAGGTTTTTCCCATTTTTGACCCAAAAAACATCAAATTTAGCAATTTCTTTCCAAACCATTTTGTAGAGCTTAAAAAAACAAATAATTTAGTATATTGAAGCGTTACTATGCGCCTAATGGTTACAGAGAAAATTCCAAAAAATTGTAAATTTAAAATTCCCATGTTATTCTTATGGAGAATAAGTAAACTGTTGTAGTTTTTGCTTGTTTGTGAACATATTTTGATCAAATTTGAAAAATGTTTTTATTTCTTACTAACTATTCACATTTGACAAAAAACAGTTTTACCCTCCCTGATGCAGCAAACCTAAGTACTTGTTAAACTAGTTCTATTTAAATCTGGAATAAATGTTATATTTTTAAGTAGACATTTCAGTGTAAATCCAATCAGTCAAATGGAAATTCGCTTAGTCTGCAGGTTTGCTGCGGCGGGGGTATTCATTTATATTTCTATGATTTGCAAAAGCGTTAAAAAGTTATAATATTTACCAAAAGGGTGCAGCACTATTATTTTTTTGCATTTATGAAAACAGCTAATTTGAACTGAGAAGCAGCAAAAAACTCTAATAAGCGATGAGAACTGTCAAAGTAGGATTGTATACAGTTATGTTTATTTCTTTATTTCATGAATAATTAGTGATATTTAGCAATTTTTTATAATTTGTTTTTATCAATTGTTTAGGTGAAGTAGTAGAACATTAGGACTATTGTGCCATACTATAGTATACTGTAAATTTAAAGAAACAAATTTTATCAAACTGTGTCCTCCCCCATTGCAAACGCAAAGCTTGAGTATAACTGGAATAATCATTTTATACTTATATGCCAACCCCGTACAAAGGACGGGTATGACTTCTAGTAACAGTAAGTATATATTTTTTTGATTTGATTGTTATCATGGTGGAAGGAAAATACATAGGTGGTGCTATTCCGTCATATTCTTACGTCACTCAGATTGCAAACAAAAGATCACCTGCTGATTGTAACTCTCAAATTAGTATGTATTTGTTTTATTGTTATTGTTAGGGTGGCACCGGGTCACGGAATGGGCATACGCGAGGGACGATGGCTAAAGGTGTGGTGACGTCATATCCATGGTGGCTAATGTCTTCTCTTGAGGCAACACGATTACCGTAACGAGACGATGTGATAGCGCATCGGACTAGTGTTCAGCAGGTCTCGAGTTCGAAACCCGTTGGGGACACTAATCTTGTCAAAGATTTTACTTTATTTGATTTTTATCTTATATCTTTTAGCGAATTTCCCTATAGGGAAGTAGCTATTACCGTAGGTCTCATGGTAAGACTTAGGCCCGGGACCGATTTACTTTTTCATTTTGATGGCCCCAGAGGCAAAAAACACCATTCGTTCAAATTTATATATATATATATATATAGATTTATATTAAGTATGATTTTAAGTATGATTCTCCTCTAAATTCTAAGTTAACTTAACATATGACTATTTATTCCTTTCATTATTTTTGTTATTGTATTTCTAAATGTAAACATGACTATGAACTAAGTGTCGAAACATGTCGTTTATTAATTAAAAATGAATTTGAAAGGGTACTAATTTTTGTATAATGTTTTCAATTATTTATAGATTTATGTGTGTGTCCGTGAACACGATAACTTGAGTAATTTTAATCCGATTTTGATGAAATTTGGTTTGAAGGTGTAAGGTGGGATAAAATTGAATGAGTTCGGATCCAGCATGATCGGACCATGGGAACAGGGTTTTATG